GCGCGTGTGCTGCATCGGCGACGGCGGCAACGACGTGTCGATGATCCAGGCGGCGGACGTCGGCGTGGGCATCGTGGGCAAGGAGGGCCGGCAGGCGTCGCTGGCGGCCGACTTTTCGATTGAGCAGTTCTGCCACCTCACGAAGCTGCTCGTGTGGCACGGGCGCAACAGCTACAAGCGCAGCGCCAAGCTGGCGCAGTTTGTGATCCACCGCGGGCTCATCGTGGCCGTGTGCCAGACCATGTTCAGCATCGCCATCCGCTTCGAGCCCGAGGGCCTCTACATCGACTGGCTGATGGTCGGCTACGCCACGGTCTACACGGCGCTGCCCGTGCTGTCGCTCGTGCTGGACAAGGACGTCGACGAGGACCTCGCCAACCTGTACCCGGAGCTCTACAAGGAGCTGACCGAGGGCCGCTCGCTGTCGTACCGCACCTTTTTCGTCTGGGTCTTTGTCTCCGTCTACCAGGGCGCCATGATCCAGGGCCTCGCGCAGCTGCTGACCGAGGTCGACGGCCCGCAGATGGTCGCCGTCAGCTACACGGCGCTGGTGCTCAACGAGCTGCTGATGGTCGCCATCGAGATTACCACGTGGCACCCCGTCATGATTGCGTGCATCGTGGGCACGTTTCTGCTGTACGTCGGGTCGCTGCCGTTCTTGGGCGGCTACTTTGACCTGCAGTTTGTCCTGAGCGTCGGCTTCCTGTGGCGCGTCGTGGCCATCTGCGCCATCTCGCTGGTCCCGCCGTACGCCGGCAAGCTGATCCGGCGCACGATGAAGCCGCCGTCGTACCGCAAGGTGCAGAGCATATAGTGAAGTCTGCTGTTGTTGGGTAGGCGTTTGGTACTTGTTGAGACTGTATTGTTTTTTGTTCTGTTTTTTTGTCCTGTTTTGTCTGGTTTCTCTCTGTTTGTCTTGCATCAAGATATCACACGGTCAGCTGTGGTTCTGTATTTGTCGTTGCAGTCCTTTTGAGTCCTTTTGCTTGATATGTATTCTTGTCTTGTTTATACAGGTCACTTTGTCGTCTGGCCTCCTCAGCCTTTCTATCAACCTCCTTTCCACCTCTATATGTACACCGTCCTGTGACTGCTCGTGCCCGTCCCTATAGCTTCAACACCTGCCAGCGCGCAAACGTCTCCGGATCGCGCGCCGCCATGTGGCCCAGAATGCCGCCCAACGGTCCCTGGCGCTCCTGTCCGCCCGCCCACGTTTTGGCACCCGCCCAGGCCGCAATAAACCCGTCCGGCCCAGACACCAGCACCAGATTCTTGCCAGCGCTGCCAGCACCACAAGAACACGTCCTGGTCGTGGCGGACCCGCGAAACGCGTCGGCGTCGAGCCGCTCTAGCGTCCGTGCCGAATGGTAGACGCAGGACGGGTCGGTCGTGTCCGGCTGTGTGGTGGCCGCGCCCGTCGTTTCTTGCCTCCCCCATGGCCAGTACCATGCGCGTCCACTGCTTTTGCCGTCGGCCCTCGCAATGGCCTGCCGAACCGCCGGCTCTGTAATCCACGTCTGCTGCGCGTCCACGAAGCTCAGCACGCGCAGGCGGTCGGCGCCGTAACGCGTCTGCAATGCCTTGATGTCGCGGACAATCGGGTTCGCCTCCTTGGCATCGATCGTCGCGGTGACGCCGATGCTGTCGTCTGCCTGGCGGTTCGCCCAGAGGATGGAGACTGCCGCGCCCCGGCCCAGGACAGCGTTGGCCGCCTGTAGTGCCGTAGAGATGCCCGTCCCGCCGGCCAGCACAACGACCTGTCTGTCGCTGTCGCCGTCGTCGGCGTCGTCGGCGTCGGCGTCGGCGTCGCCCCCCATCCTCGCCGCCACGTCGAAACTCGGGCGCGGGCCGCGCACATCCACCCTCGACCCCACGGCCCGTCGTGACAGGTACTTGGACACCTCGCCGCCAGGCACCACGCGCACAAACAGTCGGATCTCTGTGCCGTCCGCGCTGTGCTGCTCGTGTTCACCGTGTTCGCCGTGTTCGCCGTGTTCGCCGTCTGCGCCCACCACCGGCGGCAGCGGCGTGTAGTCCCGTGCAATCTGCAGCTGCGGCTGCTTGACCTCGACCGACCACAGCCCGTGCTGCCGCGCCGTCGCGATCGCCGCCGCCGTCGCCGTCCGCGCCGCGCCGTCCTCGGCCAGCAGCCGCAGCGTCAGGACAAACGCCGTCGGCGACACACGGTCGCGCGCCACGACGGCAAACGGCACAAACGTCTCCGTGTTGAGGCCGCCGCTGCCGCCCGCTGCCAGGCGCCGCTGCCCGTTGTCGTCAAACGAGCCGGACGCGCTGCCCGCGGTGGCCCAGTAGACCGTGCCGCCGACGAGGACGGCGAGCGACCCGAGGACCATGGCGCGGCGCCGTTTGGATGGTGGTGGCGGAGGCGGTGGTGGCGACGGCGCTGCTGCAGGCCGGGCCGGGCCCAAGCATGGCCTGCTGCTGGAATACGCACGCTGCCATCGTATGGGCGGCGGACGGGCGGGCCTGGACACGGCGAGCCGTTGCTGGCTGTGATGGTGCAGACGCTGGCGACAAAAAGGACGGATCGAGCACATCCGTCGGGGACCAGCCGCTGTGGCCGTGCTGCCCAGCAGGCGGGGCTGGATCGTATGTCTCATGTAAGTGCAGGCAGCCAGGTGGCTACTGTGCAGAGTGTGTTGTCAGTATCAGGAGAGAAGGGCGTTTCGCATCGTCGGTTCATAGACTGAGTTATAAGTTATAATGTGAGTTTTCAGTTTTGGGCCTCGTGGCGTTTAGAGGCAGTTGCGGCTAGGTGGGGCGTAGCGCACCTTCCTCACAGGTCTCTAATAGCAAGGCCTACGGATGGCGTCAAGAGTCAGTATAACAATGTTGATTGATAGCTTCAGATGAAATGCTGGATTTTTGCTGCATTTTGTGGATATGGGTATCGAGATTTCTTTTATAAAAAAGGGGGGGAAAAGAAAAGAAGAAAGAAGAAAAGAAACGAAAGAACAAGAACAGTTATTTTCCGTCATTTTATTGCCCTTACGCAAAGAAGATGCTGAACAGTGCTCACAACTACTATTTACTGAGCGAAATAAAGTAAGCTCCTTGTATATCTGATTACCCTACTTCGTAGACACTCACCCATTCCAGCCTCGTCGCACTCTCACCAGTGGCTTTATCAATGATTGACGTTTCCTGGCTCGTCTCATTCGCCGGCCGCACCTTCCTCAACGCCTCGGAGCTTGCTGCGGAGATAAAAAAACACACACAGCAAGACAGCTGCTAAACGGACCCAAAACGGTGCTCCGGGACGGAACTGCGCAGCTTCCTCTCTTGGCAGGTGCAACCAGACGCGAAGCGGCTCCCAATCCCTGTAAGACGGCAGGCGCAGCCGACAACGTCTCCTTCCGCTCTTACACACTTCCGTTCGCACTCTTTGGGAATCGTCTGCCTTCTCACCTCTCGTCTTGGCCTCTTTTGGCCTCTCCTTTGACGCTCCCATTGTACGGACACACATTCACTGGACGTCGTCACGCGCGCATTCATCATGTCCAGTCCTGCCAAGTGCATATCGGCCGCCTCTTCGGCCGGCCTCCGGTCGACTCGTCCGGTCCTCTTCACATCTTCTGCCTCGTCCTCGTCGCCCTTCACAATCGCGTCCCCGGCAAGATACAGGGCAAGACACAGGGCAAGATACAGGGCACTGTCGCCGCTGTCCGGTGGGCCAACGCGGGCAACTCCGCGCCGGCTCTTCTCGTCGTCTCCGTTGTGCCGCTCGGCCTCTTCCTCTGCCTCTGCGTCCGCCGCGGCCTCGGCCTCGGCCTCTCCCAAACGAGAACGGCCTCCATTGCCCTTTGCCACTGTCCCCTCGTGCCCGTCGCCCACGTGCGCCTGCGAGCCCATGCCCGAGCTGCCCGCCGACCTGCCCATCGACCGCACCAGCCCGCTCAACGGCCTCATCCCCGCGTACAGCGAGCAGGTCCTCGTCTGCACCGGCACCAGCGACTGGCCGTCGCGCATCGAAGACGCCAACAGCGGCGACAACCTGGCCGCCGACATCAAGGAGCTCTTTGGCCGCGGCGGCACCTACAGCGACCCGTACCACCACGTCGCCGTCCTCAACGCCTCCTTCCCGCCCTCCGTGCCGCGCCTCGTCGGCCTGCAGTCCTCGTCCGTCTACCTGCTGCCCAGCTTCACCTACATCCCCTATCTGCCGCGCCTGTCCTTTGACGCCGTCGAGGCCCTCGCCCAGGCCTTTTTGCTGCCCGCGCGCCTGCACCCCGCCCACGACGGCGCCCTCTCGCCCGTCCACCGCGACCGCCTGACGCGCAAGCCAGCCCTGCGGCGCCTGTTCTACGGCGTGCGCGAGCCGATCCCCGACGTGCTGGTGCTCATCTGCGGCCACCGTGCACGCGATGCGCGCTGCGGCATCGTCGGCCCCGTGCTGCAGACCGCCTTTGCGCGGGCGCTGGGCCGCGCCGGGCTCCACGTCGAGCAGGGCCCCGTCGAGCCGGACGACTACGTGGGCGCCGACGGTGACGGCGCGACAACGAACGCGCCGCCCCCGCCAGCCATGCAGACGGCGCGCAGGACGACGGCCCGCGTCGGCTTGGTCTCGCACATTGGCGGACACAAGTTTGCCGGCAACGTGATTGTGTATCTGCCGCCGAGCCTGCGGACGCCCGACGGCCTGGCCGCCCACCCGCTGGCCGGCTACGGCGTGTGGTACGGCCGTGTCGAGCCGGAACACGTGGAGGGGCTCGTGCAAGAGACGGTGCTGCAGGGCCGTGTGGTCGAGGACCACTTCCGGGGCGCCATCAACCAGGAGCGGCAGATTATGCGGCTGTAGGCGCTGAGTCGCTGCTGGGGAGGGGGGAAGGGGGGGGGGGCTTATTTGGCTTCAGCGGTTCTATGTACAACCTATAGAAATGAATGACGAATACTTTGCACTGCTCCTTTATACGCAAACCTGGGCTTATTTAACACTTGAATGCGGTACACCATTTTATCTCAAAAAGAATAACGTACACATGAAAAGCCCAAAACAGTCTGCCAGAAGTGAAAAGACCTACTTAAAACCTTCAAAAGACAATAATACAAAAATACACACACCAAAAAAAACCACAACACTTGTCCTCTACGTAAACAGACTCAGATCCAACGGCACACTGCTCCCACGGCCGGCCCGGTACCGCTTGGGTGCACCGGTAAATGTCCGGGCCACAGGGAACTTGTCCTCCGTCACGAACCGCCACCGCGTGTCCTGCACAATGTAGCGCGCACCGCCGCCGCCGGTCTGCGGCCGCGGCGAGAGGGATCCATTGTTTGCGCCCGCCGCGCTGCCCGTCCGCGTCGGCGACGGACTGTTGAGCGCGCTGCTGTGCCCACTGTTGCCGCCGCCGCTGCCGCCGTTGGGCATCAGCGTGTACGCCGACGGGTCGAGCATCGACACGCGCATCGGGTGGCTGTTGGAGCCGCTGCTGATGCTGGTGCTAGCAGCACGCTGCGACGGCGGCGGCGGCGGCGGCGGCGGCGGCGGCAGGTTGGCAGACGACGACGACGCGGCCAGTGTGCCGTTGCCGTACGGCGACGCAGAAGGCGCTGCTGCCGCCGGGGGTGGCGGCGGTGGCGGCGGCGCGGGCGGCGGCGCCGACGAGAAGGACGACGACGGCGAGTGCGACGGGGCAGCCGGCGGAGGCGGTGCCGAGGGAGGCGGTGGTGGCCGCGAGGGCGCACTGTTGCTCGGAGGCGGCGGCGGGGGAGGAGGAGGCGGCGACGCTGGCTGGTGTTGCTGCTGCTGCTGCTGCTGTGCGCGGATCATGGCCTGTGCTGCAAGGCTCTGAGACGGCGGAGAGGACGGCATCGCACTCGGCGGCGGCGGTGGAGGAGGTGGAGCAGGCGGTGCGGCGGCACCAAAGGACGACGGAGGTGGCGGCGGAGGCGGTGCGGGCGGTGCCGAAGGCACGGGAGGCGCGGCAGCCGAGGGAATGGGCGGCGCAGAGCCCGTGGGTGGCGGCGAGGCCAGGCTCGACGAGGGCTTTCTGGACCCGGGCGGCGGCGGCGGCTTCTTGCCAATGGGCGGCGGAGGGCCCTTGCTGCCCATGATAATCTGCGAGGCAGACGACACAGGGCGGTCGCCACGCGCCGACACCTTGCGCAGGTTGGAGATGGACGGGTGGAAGCCGGCGCCGAGCGGGTTGCCGGGCGCAGGCACTGCAGGGCGGCCGGGCGGCTTCGGTGCAGCGCCACCGGGTGGCTTTGGTGCGCCAAACGCAGGCGGCCGCGGCGGTGCGGCGGACGCGCGCGAGTCTTCGGGGTCGGACAAGTACGAGGCGGTCGTATCAGCTGCGATGGTTAGCATGGGCGTCGAGTCGAGTCGCGTGCCCTGCAAAGAGGGCACAGGGGCTCCACTGACCTCCTGTATTGACGCCGCCGCCGGTCTTGCGCAGTTTGGGGATGCCGCCAGAGAAGAGACCGGCCAGCTGCGGTGGTCCAGCACTGTCCATGCCGCCCTGGTCGCTGTTGCTGCGAGCACGGTTGCCCGCAGCGGGCGGTGCCAGGCCGCCACCTGGCCGCGGAGGAGCGCCGCCCGGGATCGGAGGAGCACCGGCCACCGGCAACGAGCCCGAACCGCCGCCGGACGACTTGCTGAGGGCGGGTGCGGAGCGGTCGTTGGTGACGGCCTTCTTGAGGGCCTTGCCCTTGTGGATGTCGCCGAGCAGGGCCGAGTTCTGAATGTTTGAACGTCAGTACTTTAGCAACAGGTTGGACAAACAGCTGTCTGTGTCTGTGTCTGTGTCTGTGTCTGACATACCAATCCTTTCCCTGCGGGAGGCCGTGATGGCAGACCGCCAGGCGGTGGTGGCGGCGGTGGCGGCGGAGGCATGCCGGACATGCCGCCCGGGGGAGGGGGTGGCGGAGGCGGCGGAGGCGGCGGCATCGTTGCTGTGGGACGCGGACGAGCAGAAGACGTCGACGCCGAGAGGGGCAGCTGTTGGGACACAAAATCGTTTATCTTTTCGTCAATCAAAGGGAGCGCGTGCCGCCTGGCGTGGTCGACGGCAGGCCGCTCAGGGGGTTGCTGCCGGTCCTATCGTCGAGACCTGCGTAAGAAATGAAGCTAATGCTGCATGTAAGAATGGACGATGCGGGTGTGGTGGACGGCTGGAGTCGAAGCCGTGGCCGAATGGGTGTGAAGGTGAAAGAAGCGAAGATGACGAGAATGTGGACAATGAGGCAGGCGTTTAGAAGTGGATTAGAAGTGGAAGGCGGAAATCGTCAATAGCTGTAGAACACGAAGGAACGACTGGCGCCCAGCCGTGCTCTTTGGCAGGCACCCAACATTGAGCCCAGCGGAGAAGTGGGGCACCTTCCTCACTGTTTCCTCGCTGCAGAGGCAAGAGCGGCGTGTTTCGTCACTGCCTTGCCTGTCCCCAAGACGCAGGATTACGCAGTTGGACCGGCAAGTGGGTCCAGTGAGGCTTGGGGAAAGAGCAAAGGCAAGGCGCAGGGCAGGACCACACCACGAGGAATATACAGTATGAATTGAGTTTACACACTGTATTCACACAGTCTCCGCCAATCCCTGCACATCGAAATCGGCAGCTGTTGAATTTGGACGTCTCGACAAAAGGAACAGCGAACGGCAACTCTGGCGACCACCCCGCGACGGCCAATTCACCAGAGAGGACCAACACATCATGCTCACACAATGCCGGGCGGCCCACCGGCCCCGACAGCCGCAGCTGCGCCAGGCGCTGGAGTGCGCATCGAAGACTGTGGGCTGCAGTAATGCGCGGGGAGCAATATCGACTCCAGGGTCCTTGATGGCCTTTCACACGGCCCGGCGGGCGCGGATATGCGGCGGTCGGGCGGGCATGGCACAGATGGCTGCCATGGTTTCGTCAAGGTGTGCCGCGCGGACGTCTCTGCCGCCACCACTACTCTCGACGACACACGGCCAGCGATTTGTCTCGACGACATTCGCACCAAGGCAGCGACAGGCCGATATCGCCACCGCAGTAGCTTCACGTCCGCAGCCAGTCACCCTGCCGGACCTGGACAAGGTGGCCGCCCTCGTCAACGGCGCGCGCGACCGGCTCCTGAGCCACCCAGGCGTGCCCTCCGAGGACGAGACGGCGACGGCCCTGCGCATATGCAGCGAGGCGGCCGATCTGATCATGGACGCCGCCGTGCAGCCGCAGCTCAGCAGCATCGACCACCAGTCGGACACGGCCGCCTCGACGCTGCTGTCGCTGGACGGGCGCAGGACTGCGGCCGCGCCAGCGGCCGCGGACCCGACCGTGGACGCAGCCCCGCGCCTCCGCCGGGCCATCGACCAGATCTCCGATGCCGCCTACATGATTGCAGATGAGCCGCGCGTGTTTCTGACGCCGCAGCTGCTGGAGCAGTACGTCCAGATCCAGGCGCGGCTGGGCCGCCCGGAGTCGCTGCCGCACGTGCTCCGCCTCTACGCATCCAAGCCGGCGCCGGCGCCCTCGGCGGGCGCCGCGGCCGGCGGCCCCATCACCTACAAGACGCAGAACCCGCGGCGGCCGTCGAGCGCTGTGGGCTCCCGCGTGGCCGCGACCGCTCTGGAGGCGGCCCTGGCCGCACAGAACCTGGACGCCGCCGTCGGCGTGATCGAGCACACGTACGCGGCGCCGGCGTTTGTCCGCGCCAAGCTGCTGCGCCACGGCCTGCTGCCGGCGTTTGTCGTCGTGGGCGTGCCGGCGGCGACGTACAGCCTGGCGTCCAAGCTGGCCACGCTGCAGGAGACCATGGACACGACGACGGCGACGAGCCTGTCGTTTGCCGCGATCCTGGCCTACATTGCCTTTACGGGCACCATCGGCGTCGTCGCCAACACGACGGCCAACGACCAGATGCGCCGCGTGACGTGGGCGCCCGGCACGCCGCTGCGCGAGCGGTGGCTGCGCGAAGAGGAGCGCGCGGCGCTCGACAGCGTGGCCTGCGCCTTTGGGTTCCGCGAGGCGCACCGCTTCGGCGAGGAGGAGGGCACCGAGTTCCAGGCGCTGCGCGAGTACATTATGCGCAAGGGCATGCTGCTGGACCAGATTGAGCTGATGGAGGGCATGAGCTCGTGAGGCTGTGTACAATGTGTATATAACAAGGAATCGCACGTCATGATTTTTTCTTGTGGGGACCTAATACTTGCATCGAACATGTGTATTGAATCATGTAAAGTCTTGAATATGCAAACGCAATGCCCCGAGCCAAACACGCCCCTTGTTCTCCAATCCATAACTGTCCTTTTACCATTCACTCCATTACCCATTCCCGCCCCTCCCCATCCCCCCGTATCGTCTCGTCCACTCTAGTTCGTATCTCATATACATCTATGCGTCTATGCGATTGCGGGCTCTACCGCTCCACCTTGCCGGCCCGCGCGACCTGGAAGATCTCGCCCGTCGGCCGGTCGTCGCTGCGCAGCACAGGCCACGAGCTCACCACCGCCTTGGCCAGCACCACCTCCAGCTTCGTGCCCAGCACGCTGTACTTGGACTTGGCCGGGTCAATGGCCCCGTACAGCGACACCTGCTTCTTGTACCGCTTGGGCACCGGCGCGTCCGTCGTCGGCAGATCCAGCGCGATGCCCTGCTCCGTAAAGCGGACCACGGCCCGCGTCTTGTCAATCTTCTTGAGGAAGAAGGACACCGTCAGCGACGTCGCCGACTGGTAAAAGTCGAACCGCACATTGTCGAGCAGCTCTTCGCTGCCGTCGCCGCCGGCCGTGTGGCTGCCTGCCTCGCCGCCGGCACCCGCCGCCTTCCTGTCCTTCTTGCCGCTGCCCACAAACAGGTGCCGCGGCTTCGTCTGGCAGCCCTCAATCTTCATAAACTGGTCAAACTCGAGCACGCGCCGCTTGCAGCAGCTGTAGCCCTTGCTGCCCTCGTGGAAGATGGGCGCGCCCGGGTGGTGCACGCAGCGCTCCGGGTCTGCATCGCTGCCGCCGCGCTTCGTGCCTGCCTTGTACGCCACGCCGCACCCGCGCCGCCGGCACATGCGCCCGTCGGGGATCGCGAGGGACGTGTCGTCGTCGTCGGACTCGGGCGGCGGCGGCGGTGGCTGTGTGGCGGCCCCGCCGGCTGCTGCTGCCAGTGTGGAAGAGGAAGGAGAGCTGTCGGTCTGCTTTTCGCGGGTCGGCATGGCAAGGGGCGTGCGCGGCATGGCGGGGCCGAGCGTCTCGGCGGACGAAGTGGCTGTTGTTGGTGCCACCGGAACGGCTTGCACGTCGGCCGGCGTCTCCTTCTTCTCGACCTTGGGCGGCAGGTCGGTCGTGCTGTGCTTGCCCTCCGTGCAGGGCGTAATCTCCATAAACTCCTCAAACGTCAGGACCCGCGGCTTGCAGCACGTCCAGCCTGTGATGCTCGTCAGCTTCCTGCCCACCTCCAATGTGTCGACAGCCATGACAGATCCTGTCTGGACTCACCCTTTTGCCCTTCGTGAAAGACCGGCGGCCCCGGATGGTACCTGCAGACCTCGTCCGGGTCCGTGTACTGCTTGCCGCAGCCCTGGTGCACGCACTTCTGGGCCATGGTCGTATGATTGGGCGGTCAAGCCTGGTTTGGGTTTGCGTGCCCTTGAATCGTTTGTTTCTCTTGCAATGCTACCCCGCGAAATCGATCGTTGCCGAAAAGGTGATGACAACAAGAGCTTCTTCGTTGCTGGGCTTCTTGGAGGGGCTCTTATTCTCTGATGTTCACCTCGTCAAGTCCTTGTGCTGGTTGACTGTTGCCAGGTGCAAACGACTTTGATCAATTCGTCGTTTTCTTCGGGAGAAATGTGTCAAGCCTGCCTGTCCGTTTTGGTGTTGACTGGGCGAGTTTTCTGGCGGTGGAAATTCTGACGGCGATCTTCCAACAGCTTCCATTCGGGAGAAAATCCACGACCCAGTTTTTTTCTTTGCTTCTTTGGTGCTTTGGCGGGGGAAGTAGGTGGTTCCAGAAGGTCGGTTCGTCGCGCCTGCCCTACGAACTACAGCCATCCTACAGCGGAGCTCCTGCCCTGTTTTGCCTCGACTAATCGAAATGGACAAAGTCCGACAAAACCGAAAAAACTGACGGCAAGTGCGACCGGCAACGTGCTATGACTGTACACACACCTGAGTGCTCTTTGATGCAAAACAAGCTACAGGACAGGCCGCCCAGACAATGTCCGACAATGCAGAGAAAACACCAATGCTTGATGCTTCTCACCGACGACCGTTGGCTGTCCGTGCAATGCAAATACCGACAACGTGGTTGACGTTTGGGTACCATATGGCAAGCGAGATGCTGAAACAGGCCCCACTCTTAGCTGCAGTTGCTCTTCAGCACCTGCCGCCATACATTACAAACCCCGCTTTACTGGATCGAGGAAGGCACAGTGTCCACGGCCAACATCGTGTGAGGAAGGTGCTGCTGTGCCAATGAAGCTGCTTCTACGAATTACCCATCAGCCACAGCTGCGGCACGACAGCAATACAGCAATACAGCAATACAGCAATAGTATCCCTTCATCACCATGCGATTGACGGCCCGTCTTCTGCAGCAGCAGCAGAAATGCCGCATTACGCTGTTTACGCGGCCCAATTGCGGCCTCTGTACGCGCGCCAAGTCAGCTCTCTCCCACGTCTGGGACGCTCGGCCGTTTGACTACCGCGAAGTCGACGTCATCGACCCCGTCCATAAAGGCTGGCGGGATCTCTACGACTTGGATGTACCCGTGGTAAGGGAATGCCGTTGTCATATTGGAATGCAATGTCATGATAGGAATGCCGCTGCCATGACTCATGTTTATGGAGCCATCACTAACAAAACAGATCCATGTCAGCAAGATTACGGCGGCCGAGGAAGACCCCAAGCTGGCGTCGCGCGCCGTCAAACTCATGCACCGCTTCGATCCCGACGACGTGAAAGCCAAAATGGATCTTGTGGAGAAGAACGACGCCTAGCCCTCCGCTCCGCTCCGTCCACGTCATCCGCCTTGGCCCCGCGCCACGTGGACCGCCGCGGATGCCGCCGCCTGCAGCGTCAGCACGTCCGTCACCACATTGACCATGTGGAACCCGGCCGCCGCGTAGTCGCGTGCCTGCGCGGGCGAGCCCGCATAGACGCCGCAACAGCAGCCCTCGACGGACTGCGCGGCCGCCAGCACACGCGCCATGGCGTCCTTGACCTCCGTGGGAAACACGCCGTCGCGGATCGGGTGGCCGATGTTGTTGGCAAGGTCAAAGGGCCCGACAAAGAGCGCGTCGACGAGTGGTGCAATGGCCTCGACGTTCTCCACCGCGTCGCGCGTCTCGATCTGCACCATCGTCACAATGCTCGCGTTGGCCTGGTCGAGGTACTCTGTGAACGTCGGCAGGGCGACGGGGTGCGGGCTCGGGTCGTCCTCTTGCGTGACGCGGAAGCCCTGCATGGCGAGTGGTGAGCCGAAACCGCGGCGGCCCTGTGGTGGGAACTTGCACGCAGCGACGAATTCCTTGACCTCGTCAACCGTGCGGATAAGCGGAGCGAGAATCTGCGTCTGTCAGCGAGGCAATATGAAAAGTAAAAAAGGTGCAATATTCAACCAACGCAGAGTCAATACATACTCCATGGGCACCGCTGTCGAGAGCGCCTGATCAACCGGCCGTCAGCACTGCCATGGCACTCTGAGAAAACACCAAATCCCGGCGGAGACTCACGCTTCACCATCCACGACTGGAAGTCGGGAATCCGGACAATGGGCGACGCGCCCTCGGCGGCAATCACAGGCACAGCCGCGTGCATTTCGGCATCTGTTGGTCAGCAGGGCTCTCCGTCTCCCTCTCGTGACTGTCTGCACATCGCCTCGGGTGCCTACCATCAATCGCGCCGTGCTCGCAGTCGACCAGCACCCAATCAATCCCCGGCGTCCGTGCCAGCGTCCGCGAGATATAGGCGCCCGGCAGCATCTGCCACATGCCCAGACTGGCCTGTCCGCGTGCCGAGCTGTCGGCGCTCCGGAGGCGCGTGAACGCCTGCCGCAACGGGTTCGCCTTGCTCATGGCATCGTGGGGCAGTGGCTTGGCCGAAGTGGATGGCGCCGCGGCCTGGTACGAGCGCCGAGGTACCCGCGTAAAGTTGGTCTCAGGTAGGCCGATGTGTCGGAAGTGGCTAGGCCGACGGAGAGTGGAAACGGCAGCACTGGAAGCCATGTTGATGGCCGGCGTTTCAAAGTACGGATGTAGTAATGGCAGAGTTGGAATCTACAAAACAGGAACTGGCCAAAGACGCCCCTATTTATCGGCCATAAACGTCCCTGCGATATCGCCGTAATGAGTGATGTGCATGAGAAACACGCGAACTACGGGGCACCGCCGTTCTGGGCAGGCACGATCTTGCGGGGTAGAGCCGCTGATTTCCGTTGAGGGGGAAGGCACGATCATGTATGTTTAAGCCGACATGGCGAGAGCACCACTCGAGTGTATCTCTGCCATTTGCAATCTGTGCATTCTTTCACGATGAGGAAGTTCTTTAACCATTGATTTATACTTGTGTTACCCGTAAACCGAAAAGCTGTTGAAACAGGGACGGCCTGGGTTATTGTGCGTGTTGACTGTTGTCCTGGTCGTGGCTCAGAGCTTATCGCTGTGGCTAGTGGGCAATATGCGCCACACCTTTTCAAGCTAGCACCAAGTTATAGAGGGTCGGCACAAAAGGCAGCTACAACCGCCAACTACATCGCACTGCTTCTTTTGCGATCCCTGCACCTCACCTCCGACATTGATCGAGACGACGACCCCCGACGACGACAGCGACGCCTCACATCCCAGGAGCTTGACTACCACAGCCGCCTGCCCGGTCATCTCGACCACGGCCTCACCGCGCTCCTCCTTGACTGCCCGTCCGTCTCGCTCACGCCGACCCGCCGCCATGGCGGCCCTCTTGAACAACTACCTAGAGAGTGCGTTTGTATGGAATGTATTCCTTGGAAAGAAAATGGGCTAACGTTGTGTCTCCCTTTAGAAAAGGTCCTCGTTCTCACAGTCGACTCGCGCATCCTCGTTGGCACTCTCGCCAGCATCGACAACTCGACCAACTTGGTAAGCTTTGTTGAGCTCTCAGAGGCAGGCTTTAGCCCTCGTACGAATCTTGTGCTGACTCTTGCAGGTGTTACTGGGCACAATTGAGCGTGTTATCAACACGCCCGACGACGACGAGGCGTCTGCTGAGGTGCCCCTTGGGCTGTACCTCGTGCGTGGCGACAACGTGTGCAGCATCGGCTTGGTGGACGAGCAGCTGGACGCGTCGATTGACTGGACAAAGGTGCGCGGGCACGTCATTGGAACGACGAAGCACATATAGGGCGACGCCCACCAAGACACATCACTGAAGGAACAGTGCCGGATTACGAGAGGTCACCCATTTTGAAACTAGATACCCAGTAAAATCAAAAGGCTGCAGCCAGCTTAAAACATTTCAATAGATTCATTAAAAATATCACCAGATCGGTACGCCTGCACCGACATATTCTCAGGCAAACAGGCTCTTCATCAGGACATCGGCAAAGGCCAGCTCGCCCGGCGACCCGACGATGCGGTTGATGCGGTTGCCCTTACGCACGCTCAACCAGCCCATGGTGTCGCCGGGGACGTTGTCGTCGCCGGCTGCCGCAGCAGATGGCGCTGCGGCGGCCGGTGTCCCGGCACTGCCGTCGCTCTGCACAATGGCATTGGCTGCGACGCTGGCAAACCCTTCCGTGTGGTCGCCCGGTTTGCTGCGCTGCCGCCGGTCCACGACGTGCATGCCGCGCGTCCACTGGCCCGACGTCTCCACGCGCAGGTCCTCGGGCTTCGCCGTCGCCGTCCACCGCGGGTCGTCCCGCAGCATCATGTACCACACACACAGCGGGTCGTGCAGGGACAGCCCCGGCTCGCTGCCGTCGCCCAGGATGGACTCGATCTTGTTGAACGTGCCCACCATGAACGTCCGGCACCAGCGCGCCAGCGGACTGCCGGCCTGCTCGGCGCTTGCAATCTGCCCGAGGAAGAAGTTCTTGTTCAGCAGGTGCGGCGTCGTGATGTCGAGCGGCAGCAGCGTCAGAGACAGGGTCCGGGACAGCGTGGCGGGGTATGGCGGCAGCTTGGACGCGCCGTGCAGCGTGGGCGGCATGGTGGACGCGGGCGTGGGCGAGGTGAGGGCGTAGACGCGGGCCGCGGCCACGGCGTCGGCATAGCAGTTGAACTCGGCGACGGGCGTGATGTTGCCCTCGACGTGGACGGCGCCGCCCATGACGACGAGCTCCTTGACACGCAAGAACGTCTCCGGGTCCTCGGCGGCGGCGAGCGCCATGTTGGTCAGCGGACCAATGGCAATGATCGTGATCGTGTCGGCCGGCTCCTCTTTGAGGATGCGCAGAATCTCCTTGTGCGACGGTGTCTTGGAGGGCGTAAAGTAGGACGAGAAGGACAGCGCATCCGATGCGGCAGGGGCGTCGCCGTCAGCAAACAGGGACCGCCATGTCTCGGACGGCGTAAGGTCCGGGTGCTATGCGCGTCAGTAGGCCATCTCTTGGGGGCGGTACATAGAGTAAGACAGATGGGATGCAATCGCACGTACAGCTTCATGCACGCCATGCAGGCCGTCAGCGCCGTCTATAGGTCCGTGTTGTCAGCCAATGCCAATATGAACAGATGCAAACATCACAGGAACCCACGGAAGTGGTCGGCCATGAGCTCCTCGTCCTCCAGCGCGTGCTCGGCGCCGATGGCAACGATCGGCTTGAACGCCTTCAGACCGCCAAACGCCTTGCTCGTCCGGCCGGTCGATTCCCGCCATGCCATCTCCTTCTCCAGGACGTGGAAGAGCGCCACGACATTGCGTAGGCAGCTGTCTTGTTAGCAAGTAAAGATGCAAAGAAACACGCCGTACAGCCAGAGACCGCCGATACCGTACCCTTGCAACGGCACGTTGCCGTACGTCACCGACAGCATGACCACCTCCAAGTCCTCGGGCGACGCGCTGAGCGCCAGCAAAATGGCGAGGACATCATCAACACCTACGGACGTTAGCAAGGCTGCAGCACAACGAGCATCGCCACAATCTTCCGCCTCATCTCAACGTACCCGGGTCGGTGTCGATGATAATGCGGTTCTTGGGCGCCATGTTCTCTGTGTGCTAGGTCCCAGGGTCAGGTCCGGGGGGTCGCGTGCTCCCTGTGGTCGGCTGTGCGATCGCTTAGCTGGGGCTCCAGGGCTGCTCGTTCATGAAAATTGGCGACAATATAACCAAATAAAAATCCCGGTTGCGCTTAGCGGCAGGGTCTCTGTCGGAACTTGGCACCTACCTGTGATTCGCACGCCGTACTTTGTACTTTGCAGCCGTGCTTCTGAAATCTGGTTTCTATTCCTGCAGTTCCCGTCCGATGTGTCTCGGCGGCAGAATTCCACCTTGCGGGGGTTCGTGTTCCGCGATAAGATGAGGGGTGTGCGTCGCCGTGAAGATAGGGTATGTGACGGACTGACACAAGCCAAAACAACCAAAATTTGAAATCAAGTCAGGAAATCAAACTGCGTTGCTGAGCAAGAAAGAGTCCTATCGTCCAGGTAGAGGCTGTGATGACAAGGAAATCGAATTCGAGATATCACGAGAGCGTTATCAAGACCCGATAAAGGACCTGCTTTCTCGCTGGGAAAGAACAGCCGTCGATATCCACCGGCCGCCTGTAGAAGGCAAGACCCTATGGGGACATTTTTTCACTGTGGTTCGTGCCTTCCCGGTCGGTGTACCGGCGCAGTTCGACGTAGTGCCGAAAATCCGTTCTGCTCTCTGCGTGCGAGTCGCACTGTTTTGCACTGTGTTTGTCACCGTGCTGAACCCCTTTCCGCCCCTATTCTCCGCCCACACTTTCCACCTACGGAGCATTATTGCTTCGGTACTCCCGAGTAGAAAAGCCACGGGCTTGGCATCTCGTTTTGGTGATGCGTAACAGACGAAAGACAAGGCAAGCTGGAATGGAAACGAAAGACAGCTGTCTCTCCTCTCCTGCATACTGTCTTTCTTTTCCTTTTTTCTGTCCTCCGTTTCGACACTGTCTAGCTGGCTCCGTAGACCATTATGTGAGGCAGGAAGGACCCCATTGAGCTGCCGGACCGAACGCCCTGATTGCAGAGTGCGTCCTTCCGTTCTGGGCGGTTGAGTGGACACCGTTTCCTCCCAGCATCTCTCTCCCTTACAGAGTGTGCTCCTTCCAACACGGGCATCACCCACCTCGTCTGTCTCTGCGATGCTACATCTCCTCACAATGCCCCGTACCATGGAAATCTAAAAGTTATGACGGGTATTTCGACAAGATCTCGTCGAGATATGCCGTCACGGCCTTCAAAACCCGGGCTGGGCAGTGCGGCATACGTAATTACACCTTGCAGGTTTTGGCGGACTTGACTGCTGATTCCAGAATAGGTTGTTTCCAAGGCGCTAGCGCACAGCGCCCTTGTGCACATGTTCGCACCTTCCTCAGCACTGTTCTCCATCGCAAGCAATAAAAACAATTGCAAAATTAATGCCCTAAATCGAAACAGCCCCCAATTGTCCCCCAACAAAAGACCCTTTGTGCTGAACCGTTGCAGCACCATTAAACGTGGTGAAGCCACCTGTTTATTTCCATCGCGCATTCTCAAACTAGTTTCGCCTGATCCGTCTCCCTCCAACGCGCCCCGTCTCCATTGCCTCGTTTTGGCCCTGCCATCTATCATCTGTCCAGTAATTACTATCTTACTGCCAGCGTTGCCCTCTGTATTCTTGCCCTCTTGCTGTTCGCACCTTCCTTCTGCTCTTACTGCTCCGTCACACCTTCCCACACTACGACGTGCCTTACCCGCCAGTAACTAAAGCGTGTCCCACAAAACAGCTCCTTCCCGGTCTAGCCTCATACCCATATTGAACAACCTGTCCAGTCAGTCCCTCAGGTCCCAAAACGGCAAGGGACGTGGTTGCTGTTTCCCCATTCGCTGCGAAATACCGTGTTCTTGGTGTTTCATTTGCCTCTCTTTCCTTCCTCGCGCTTTTGCTCTTTCCTCCCCTGAGTCCCTTACCCTCCTTTTCTTGTGTCGTTCTTGCCTCTCATTTTTTGGCGCTCGCAAAGCTTTCCTTCCTCACCTTTCGAACTCCCGGGCCCTCCTTCTTCTTGTGGCGTTGCCATCACCAGTACACTCGCCCCTGCCGTGCGTGCGGCCTACCCAACGGTTTCCCTCACTCAGACCCTCCTCTCTTGCCGATCTCCCTAACCTCGACCTTTGTTGCCATCTCTAGCCTTTGTTTCGGCTTCACTTTTGCTTCCACGCATTTCTCTGCCTTGACAACCACATTCCCCTCCATTATCGTACTTTCGCAGCACTGCAGCCATCCTTTCGACGACTCCGCGACCCTTGAACGTCGATCTTCCATGCTCGACCGACGTCGCTCTTAGCATCAATTGCGCTCTCCTGCATCTGTCGACTGTTTCTCTCTCTCTCTCTCTCGTCCCCGGGCAGCCGTGAGACAACAGTTCAACCAGGAACAAGCACAGCTGCATATTACACCGGCTGTCGACCCGAGTTTGGCAGCCAGTAAAACATCTGCCGTCACACGTATCCACGTCTCGGATCCCCGGTCAAGCAAGCGCCCGAATACGAACAAGGCCACTTCGACAAACAAACCTCTTTTCGCTGTCCGACACGACATCCTCCATCCTTTCTCGACTGCACTCGCTTCCTTGTCCTCTTGCTATTGAGGCTCGCTATCAGCTTTCGACGAACCGTCTTCTTCGTTGTTTCCCTGCTCCCACCCTATCCATTCACCATCTCCAAAATCTACAACCATGGGTGTCTCCATGTCTACACTAGCCGGCTGGGTCGTTGTCCTGGGACTGTTTGGCGTCCTGGGCTACCGCGAGTTCTCGACCTCGCAGCGCATCCAGTCGAGCCGCGAGCAGCAGCGGTCGCGCCTGGAACGCCAGGCCGCGGGCGCGCAAAAGGGCTACAAGAAGGCCAAGCAGCAAAAGGAGAGCAAGCCGAAGCCGGCGACACAGGGCACGCTAGATGCCAAGCCAAAGCCACCGTCGCCAGCACCAGCACAAGCCGCCCCGACCTACAACTACAGCTCGGACGACCGCGACGCTGACCGCGACCGCGACGCCGCGCGCAACCGGGAGTTTGCTCGCCAGCTCAACAGCGTCAAGCAGGGCACCAAGTTCACAGGAAAGGCCAAGGAGGAGTCCCGCCAGAAGAGTGTCAAGCAGTCCCGCGCCGAAGAGGCGCCCGTCGCGGCTGCCGACGCCGGCGGCGTCTCGGCGGCGTCGTCCACTGCCGGCATCGACGCTGACGACGACAACTCGTCCGCTGCGACGTCGCCTGTTCTTGCCGCCGCCACCCAGGCTGGCGCCGTCGACGACATGCTCGAGAAGGCCGCGCCTGGCCCCTCTGTCCTGCGCCTGACGGGCACCGAGGAGAAGCCCAACTACAAGACGCAGAAGACCAAGGCGCCCGAGGTGGTCGAGTCCAAGAAGCAGCGCCAGAACCGCAAGAAGGCGGAGCTGGCCAAGGCCGAGCGTGAGGCTGCTGAGTCGGACCGCAAGGTGAAGCTCGAGGCCCAGCGCCGCACCGCCCGGCAAGCCGAGGGCCGTGCTGCCAAGGACGGCTCTGCATTCATGGCTGCGCAGGCCGCGTCCAACGCATGGACCGGCCAGGGCAACAACGGCAAGATGGCCTCGTCCGGTGGCCCGTCTGGCACCAACGGCTTTGTGCCCGCGCAGCCCCTTGACACGTTTGACGCGAACATCCAGACTGATGCGTCCAAGTCGTCTGTCCCGTCGTACGACAAGAACGAGGACTGGATGTCGTCGCTGCCCTCGGAGGAGGAGCAGATGGAGATTTTGCGCAAGGACCAGAACGAGGACTCGTGGAACACGGTGACCAAGGGCCGCAAGAATAAGAAGACCAAGGACGCCGCACCAGCCGCGGAGGCTCCTGCTGCTGCTGCTGCTGCGCCCGCCGCCCCTCCTCCGGCCGCGACAAAAGCCGCTCCTGTTGTTACTGCTGCCGCCGCTGCGGCCACTCCTGCGCCCGGGGCCCAGAAGCCGCGTCCCGCTGCCGCGGTTGCCTCACAGTCCTCGTTTGCTGCCCTGACCGTCGATGAACCGGCCGAGGAGCAGGAGGAGGAGTGGGACGTGTAGCCGTGTTCGTTTATGCACGGCCACAACTGTTGGGCGCGTGGCACGGTTGGGCGCTGGCGGTGGCGAGACCGTCCGCCCCTTTTAGGTTTCGTTTCCGGACGAACCCCTGTGTTATTGAAAATGTATATTAAGGGCGGCCCCAATGTACGGAGGATGATATTTTAGAGGAGGACTCGTCCTGCGGCATTGACCACGACTTGAAAAGTACCACAAAGACGAAGAAAAAAACAGACGAGACTGAAGGAAAGCCCCCTTGACGTTTGCCCTATTTGGACGATTTCGTTATTACTTCTTATTTTTTATCAGCAGATTCTACGTTTTTGGAGTCTCACTTGACTGTACACATTTTCTTGTTCTCTTTTCTGGACCTGTTTTTTTTTTTCTGTTTTCTGTTGTTTCGCTTTTCCACTGCTCTATTTCGTTTGTTTCATCCAAATTTCTACAAGGAAACCCAGACTTCAGTCGATGTTTATTTTTGCAAAAGGTAGCGAGCACCCCGCGAGCCAAATACCACAGATATCAAGAAATCAAAATTCAGTACAAATTTTCTTGACCTTGTCGTGATGAGTCCTGGCCGTTTGTGAATTGCAGCTAAAATACGTTGTAATAGTCAACTGGCTCATGAAGCTCCCAAGCTCCAGCCAATAAAATCGATGGGCGTCGACGTCACTACAGCGGGTCACATCCCACAACAAACATTGCCGACTGCAAAAACCATACAAATACCAAAGGTTTTGTTCTCAAATTCCCACTCGCCCTGACATCCGTATTGTATTCCCCCCCTTCCCCTCGCCCGCTCTTACAATGGCCCAGCCGGAGCCTGTCGACGTGCCCGCTTTTGCGGCCACCCAGCTCGAGCTGCTCGCCGCCGAGCTGCAGTCGGAAATCGCCCAGACGGCCGAGACGGTCGGCGGGCACACGCCAGCAGCACTCCAGCGGGCCGGTGTCGCCCTGATCAACCTGGTGGTCGGTGGCCGCCGCACGGGCATGGGCGGCCGGACCGTCTTGACGCTGGAAGGGGACGCGGCCACGTCGTCGAGCGACGAGCTGCCGGAGCACGGCCTGCGCACGGGCGATGTCGTCCTGGTGGCCGAGCAGCCCGGCGGCAGCGCCAAGAAGCGCGAGATGCGCGACCTCGAGAAGCGCGGCGTGCACGGCGTGGTGACCCGGGTGCGTCGGACGGCGCTGGAGGTGGCGGTGGACAACAACGACGACGGCGACGGCAGCAGCAAAGCGGCCAGCGATGAGCATGTCGACACCCTGCTGCAAAGCCGCGTGTGGCTGGTGAAGCTGGCGGACGAGGTCACGCACAAGCGCATGGCGTCGACGATGCGCGCGATCCAGAACATGCCGGCGGCCGACTACACGCCGCTGATGCGGGTGCTGTTTGGGCTGTCGTCGCCCGGGCTCGCCACGACGACGACAGCCGATGCGGACGCGGCAAACGCAGTCGAATGGGTCGACCCGACGCTCAACGACTCGCAAAAGGACGCCGTGCGGTTCGCGCTGGCGGCGCCCGAGGTCGCGCTGATCCACGGCCCGCCGGGCACGGGCAAGACGCACACGCTGGTCGAGCTCATCCTGCAGCTGGTCCGCCGCGGCCTGCGCGTGCTCGTCTGCGGGCCGTCCAACATCGCCGTCGACAACCTCGTCGAGCGGCTGGCGCCACATGCGGTTCCCATGGTGCGCCTGGGCCATCCGGCACGCCTGCTGCCCTCGGTGCTGGGCCACGCCCTGGACGTGCTGACCCAGACGTCGGCGGCGGGCGCCATTGTTCGCGACGTGCGGGCCGACATGGACGCGCGGCAGGCCGACCTCAAGAAACCCAAGCAAAAGGGAGGCCCGGCCAACAAGACGGCGCGGCGGGCCATCTACAGCGAGCTGCGCGACCTGCGGCGCGAGTACCGCGAGCGCGAACGGCGGTGCACGCGGGAGCTGGTCGGGGGCAGCAAGGTGGTGCTGGCGACACTGCACGGCGCGGGCGGGTCGCAGCTGCGGGTGTCGTCGTCGGTGGACGGCCCCGCGCCGGCGTTTGACGTGGTGGTGATTGACGAGGCGAGTCAGGCGCTGGAGGCGCAGTGCTGGGTGCCGCTGCTCGCCGCGCGCAAGGTTGTGCTGGCGGGTGACCACCTGCAGCTGCCGCCGACGGTCAAGGCGGTGAAAGCGGAAGCCAAGGTGGCCGCCACGACGAAGAAGACGACAAATGACAAGACGGCCCCGCGCAAAGAGGGTGCCGCGACTGATGCTGCCAGCCGCCTGCCGGTGGACAAGCTCTCTCTAGACGCAAAGACGGGACAGACGGGACAGACGGGACAGACAGGACAGAAGGGACAGAAGGGGTCCGCAATGACATTGGAGTACACCCTCTTTGACCGTCTGCTGGACCTGCACGGCAGCTCCATCAAGCGCATGCTGACGACGCAGTACCGCATGCACGAGCGCATCATGCGGTTCCCCTCAGACACGCTGTACGAGGGCAAGCTGGTGGCCGCCGAGAGCGTGGCGGGGCGGCTGCTGCGAGACATCCAGTACAGCGCAGACGCGGAATCCGGGGCGGCTGCCTCGACCGTGGCCGATACCGACGAGACCCGCGAGCCACTGGTGTTTATAGACACGCAAGGCGGCGAGTTTCCCGAGACGACAGAGGAGGAGGCGTCAAACAACGACGGTGATGGCAAAGACGCCAAATCGGCCAGGGCTCGCCTGTTTGGCGACAGCAAGTGCAACGCCATGGAAGCCTTGCTGGTGCGGCAGCATGTGCGCACTCTGGTGCGCGACGGCGGACTACGGGCAGCCGACATTGCCGTCGTGACGCCATACAATGCGCAGCTGGCGCTGCTGTCGGGCCCGCTCAAGCAAGAGTTCCCGGGCATCGAGCTGGGCAGCGTGGACGGCTTCCAGGGTCGCGAGAAGGAGGCCGTCGTGGTGAGTCTCGTGCGGAGCAATGCAGCGGGCGACGTGGGCTTCCTCGCCGAGAAGCGGCGGCTGAACGGTGGGTCCCTTGCCCCGGTCGTCGTACGATTCTGTTCCCGTCGTCATCCTCCAGCCAGCTAACCATAGCGCAAGTGGCCATGACGCGGCCGAAGCGATCTCTCACGGTCATCGGCGACTCTGAGACGGTCAAGCGGTACGTCGACATTGCCTCTTGTCTCTTTTGTCTCTTATTTTCATTGATCTGCTTTGCAGCTACTGACGTCTCGTGCACTGTAGAGGCAGCGCTTTCCTCAAGAGCTGGATGGACTTCTTGGAGGAGAATGCCGACTTACGGTATCCCGACGCGTCGGCCGTGGTCGCCGAGTCATGATGCCAAATGGGGACATGGTGCGCGGCCGACTAACTCGCAAGGATCTCTGGTCGGCCCGTCGTTCAAATCCGCCGGTTCTGCACTAGAGCGACTTTCCACCAACCAGACATGCGACGGCCAAAGGTGAAAGTGTGGGTGGTGATCGCCCGAATGCCCCTTTTTTCCGAAAAGATAAAGGTAAAAAAACGTGGAAGAGCGCTATGCGCCATACTGTGTAATGCCATGGAGACTGCGCCCGTCCATGCGTCGTCGCCCCATTGCAAAAAGGACCGCAAGACGCTGCACGTCTTTGCTTCGGTCTTTTCCCCGTTTCGTCCAAGCCAGGTACCTGGCGGAGTCTTGTTTCTAGTTCCAGAGGCCTTCCTTTTCAGTCGTTCTTTGGTTCCGGGTCGTCTCGATTTTTCCCTGGCCCTTCTCTATCTGGCCGTTGGATCCGGTTTGGCCGGGTCCGGTCTGGTTCGGTCCCTAATGCCTGCCATGTCGCGTCATGCCGTACTCGCACATATCAGACGAATGACGAAAGTGCCGACCAGCAGCTTCCCTTCTTTGTTCTCCTACCGTTTTGTCTTTCGTTGCGTAAAGGCCGGAGCTTCTTGTGCATGAATCGCACGACGAACGGAGTACTACTATTTCATTCCCGTCCGCCGGGCATCTCCAGGTGAGAACCAGGACAAGCGAGACAGAGTAAGGGGCTCACAGCGGACAGCTCCTCCTTCGAGACTGCGCATGGGTCGAGCAGACTTGGTCCCTGACTAGACATGGTCCGCATGGACCATGCAGCATGGGAGATGGAGTCATGGGCCGGGGGGGGCTTGCTTTCTTGTCCTTTTTTTGGCGAGTTTTCTCCGTCTTTGCTCCTCACCGACGCAAACCAGTCTGGATGCGGAAAGAAAACGACACGCAGCAAACACGATGCCCAGGGTCTGTCGGCATTTTAGTTTTTCAGTTCGGCTTGGGCACTTCAGATGGGGTCAGAGTCGCAATGCGTCTTGCATGTCTCTCGCGTGCGACTTCTTGACCTTGTTTCAGGTTTTGCATGCTAAAAGTCGACATGTCGATAAACCCAGAAATAGAATAAATAGCTAACAAAACATGTCAAAGTAAACCCGCTGAGAGAGAAAAAGAAAATAAAAAAGTAAGGGGAAAAACAAGGGGAAACACGACGTACCAAGTGCCGCTTGTGAGTCGTGTGGACTTGTGAACACGACTTGTGCCATATGGCGATGCTTCGTTCCTGTTTCTCGCAAAGGAGCTGCGTCTTCGGAGCCTCTCGTAAAAAGAAACGCTTTCGAAACCTTTCGAGTCCGTCACTCTTGTTGTCGACGTTATTTTCTGACTTGTCACTTGTCCGCTCCTCCCCTTCCTTGGCCCTGCATTGCACTTTGTCTGTCACTGTACTTGTTCTTTTGGCTCATTTCGAAACCTGCCTCCCACTTCGCCTTTGATGCAAGCTGATGCGCATTGTCCTGTTGCTCGCTCGTCCGTCTCCGCTTGTTGATTTTCGGTATGCGCTCTTCGCCTCTAGATGGCCTTGCCTGTCTGGTGCCGCTTCTTCCTTGATTTCATTGGCCTACACCGGGGAATAGACGCGCCTTTGCAACCCCCCTCGCCAGTCAATTTAGCGGACAGCGCAGATCTCTCATCCAGTCAGAGGCCCTGTACTTCGTACACGGGTAGCGCAATGCGGGACGACGTGAGGGATAAGAAAGGGTGTTGAAGAAAAGTAGAGGCGGAAATGGAAGGGATGCCCGGGCGACTGCCAAGGTAGTTTGCATGAAGAATAGCGAGAGAAGAAGAAATAGAAGCAAAGGCAAAGTACATTGCCTGGAACGGTGACGGGAGTGGCGGACAACCAACGGATCGCTGCTCTCGGTTGGGCTTGCATAGATGTGATCTATGACTTGCAGCAGGCCACGGCCATGCCCGGCTGCTTCGTTGATGCCATTCGTCCCAGACAGACAACATCTGCAACAAACTGCTTCCACATGCCGTGCCTAACGAGAAGGACAAAGCACATCCAATTGCTCATCACTTGGCTCTATATTGACCTCTGCCCTTGTGGCGAAACTCGTTTATATGAAGCACGAGGCAATGTTGCGTAGAGGCCGCTGAGAGGCTCTCGTATCGTCGTCGCTTCACAACGCGAGTCGTTGTCGTCTCTGTCTTACCTGGTTCCTGACACTCTTCAAGACGCTTTGGCCATATATTGTGCGACACATATACGACATGCACTGCGCCGCTTCAAAGTAGTCTTGTCTCGCATTGCACGTCTGTGTGTTTTTTTCTTTCTCAGTTCCCACGCCACCTACCAGGTTACCTTACCACCCCATTGGGAGCCGCTTGCAAGAGGATGCGATGCGCCACGAGTTCCAGGGCCGATCAAACAGCCTCTGGCGTACCCGGGCTCTGGGCTATTGGGGGGCTTAGGTTTCTGGGCCAAAGTCCGAGTGTCTGAGAGTCTGTTTCTGCATCTGTGTTGGATCTCTGGAGGATGCAAATGCGCTGCTTTCACATACGTGGGGTGTGGGTTGATGTCGCTGTTCTCGGTGGACCAAGAGACCGCCGGCCGGGATCTCCAAGGGCTGATGGGAGGTGGTTGCGTTTTGCTATACCGAATTCTCACTCATCAGTACTTTGCATCAGCTGAACGCCCATCTCAACCTGACAATGGACAAAAACTCGTGATCTTGGCTTCGGTCTCTCTTTTCGACTTTCAGCTCCGGGCTCTCGCCCATGAATCCTGTAAGTAATTGCACCGTGCACAACACCACCAGCGGACCAAGACAAAAGGGGGGTAAAGTGTTTTCCTTATGTTACTGTCTGTATCGCGCCAGTCGATTCAGGCACTGTAATGGAGGCTGCTCAAAAGAGGATTCGAGCAGCCGCCAAGTATTGTTCGTGTGCTGCAGTTTGACACTTTGGTGCCTTGTCTTTTTCACTCTTCGCAGAGGTTGGGGGCCAGCGCTAACATAGTCCGCCGAAGCCAAATTCTGGTCAACAGACCAGCAGCACCGTGATGTCGATGTCCCTATCCGTGCCGCGGCCATCCGATGGTGCTCCTGGACCACGATCGACTCGCCCATGGGAAGAGGGACGACTCTAGCCCGAGTCTGCATGGGCGGGAGGCCAGGTGATCAGAGAAATGCGACTGGCCAACTGGACGACTGGACGAGGTGGAAGCATTTGCCGCCGGGGGCGAATGGCGGTGCATATGTGTGCATGCCATGCAAAAAGAGTGTGGTTGCGATGGGATGTATTACGACGTAGATTTCTCCTTTTCGCCAGTCGCAGCTGCTTGCGATAATGGCAAATGCAACTATCGGACAGAAGGCAAGACCAATGGCAACAGCGGTGTCGCTCTTTCCCTTGGATGCGCCTGAAGACATCGCTCCTTCTCTACGAAAGTATGTCGCTTAGATTGTGACCATTCTGTTCTGTTGTCCTTTCCCTCTTTTTGGTTGTCATTCGTTTCCACCTTCCCCTTTACAGTAAATACTACGACACAACATGGAAGGAGCCTGTGGGCGATGAAGGGGGAAAGGAGCAAGTGGCTTCCGTTCGCCGTCAGTTGCCACGCGAGGTAGTATCTACTACCGTAATAATCGTTGTTTTGGAGTCAGTCGCTGTACATGGGCATTTGTCGTAGCTTTCTGGTCCGTTTGCCGAGACTCGAGGAGGAGAAAGAAAGAAGCAATTGGGGAGAGACAAACCCCACCGTGTGTCGCACCAAGAGCTTCTGTGCATACCGTGCCGACTCCTCCGTACTTGCCGCCCCGAGCTTTGCAGCGTTCTCTACGGACGATGTCCAACAAGGAAAGAGGCAAGGACCGGCCTTTGTTGTTTGCTCGTTCTTTCCGGCAAACGGCAACCGCTCACGTTCCTCGTTCGTGGCTTCTCTCTTTCTTCTTCTTCTTCTTTTTTTTTTAAGAGAACCTACTATTGCTCACCGTGGGGAAAGAGGAAAGAGCGCCCTCTTCTGCCGTCTTAGCCTTCCCCTTCATTTGCGCCGTACATGAGGGTTGCTGCACGTACACAAAAGGAGAAGGCGCATCCCATGCTACCTGCATGCTCTTGTCTAGTGCAATACGACCCCGCCGCCTTCTTTATTTAACTTTTGAACGTCGTAACCAGTAGCATTGCGAGAGAAGGAGCTATCGTGTTGCACGAGTCAACAAAGCTCCAAGCAAAAATGGGTCCCAAAGCCGAAATCAAGATGAAGACAAACCTTCGCAACACACCAACACAAAGCACAACAGATCCGCCCTCGCACACACGCCCTCTACCCTCTAACGTCCCCGAAGCTCCCAGTCGCGGCCTGCGAGGCTCAATTAGAAAAGACAAACGTCTGTTCGCAGAACAGACTGAAGCACTAGTTCTCCGTACGAATGAGGAACGTCTTCCGCTTCAGTTCCATGTCGAGATATGCAGACGAGACAAGAAGAGACAAGAAGAGACAAGAAGATGCAAGAAGATGCAAGAAGATGCAAGAAGATACAAGAAGATACAAGATACGGAAAAGGATGGGAACGTCAACACGCACGGGAGACCCAGCACACAAGGCAGACAAAGCAGACTCGAAACAAATGGCGCATCTGTCTCCTCAGAGTCGCACCGGGGAAAGTAAACAGCACGCCACGCGGATGGCCATTCTGCCCCGTCGTTTGTCGTCGCCGTTTGTCAACGTTTTGTCTCCGGCGCCTCGCAATTTACTTTTCCGGATGGCCACGCCGTGGGCAGCCGCCGGTACGTAAAGACTCGCTCGATTACACGTTTTAATGGCTGCATCGTGCATCGGATGGAACTCTGAGGTGGACAGGCACTGACTGTGACATTTTACTTGAGCCTTTACACTCTTTTGTCTTCTTGTCTTCGTCCTGTCTCCTCGACGTCCAACCCTTGATGCTTGGCTATGGATGCACCGCCGTCGACCGCCGTCTTGCCGACCCATCTCCACACACACCAACTCTCAACCCAAAACCCCACCGCCACTTTGTGTCCCCCCGAAAACAGCATCCCCTTTTTTGCTTGGGTTGTTTTTGCACCTCTGAAGACTCAGTTCCTTGATGGGGCTCTGGGCGTGCTGTGGCTCCGTGCAGACTTTCTGAGCTATTCTCGCTTGCCCATACCCCTGTCACAACTGCACGCTTTTGCCCTTTCCTGTCTGTCCCATCCAGAAAGCAACTCTGCGACTCTGCTAGCCCACCAAACACGCCCCCTGAGCCACTCGCGGCCGCATCCCAGAGTTCCATTGCTGCCAAAAATGGCTCCTCCAGTCGTCTTCTTCAGGGTACAGTACTTGACGATCTCCATTCGTAACCTTCCTGGGCCCGCCATTGGAGCCACTCGGTTGTTTCATGGATGTGGCCTGTGTCCTCCTCGCAAGCCCGCCAGATGTGTTGTCGACATGCTGTCCAGTCCTGGGTGGAGGGCACGGAAACAGCACAGCAATGTCTGACGGATGCGGATGGCGTGGCTTTCCGTCCATGGACATGTTCGACGGCCGGCCACATCCAAGCAAAATACAGAGTCAGCAACCACAGAAGACAATAGGATGTGAGTTGCTGCTGCAGCCCGACAAAACAAGGCACTTAATCTATTCCAGAACCATGACAGGCACGGAAGACAACCTCTGCAAGGGCAATCTCTACAAAACCACGCACGTCTAGATGCAGCCCGAACTACACGTTTTCCTGGAACAACATGAACGGCCCGTCTTTTTTTTGCCTTTTATTGCTCTGAGCTATCGACTTTCTCTGGGCGGGCTGTTCGTCCTGGTTCAGACTCAGACCGTATTGCATCTCCAGACAGCCGTAGACCTTTCTTTTGTTCTGTTCTACACGCTGCTCTGCTCTTTGCTCTCGGTCGATTGCCCCGTTCGTCGTTCCAAGTGTAGTGTACGGAGTACTTACATGCACGCACGAAATCGACGAAAGCATCCACGCCCCCTCCTCTGTTTCTTTTGTTGACCCAGACTCGCCGGGCTTGGCTCGTTATCGACAAGGGTAGTCTTCAACGTCCATCTGGCCTAGAGCTCCCCTCTTTGGCCTTTTCGGCTTTCACAAAGCTTCCGTTTCGTCAGAGCAGCACGCCTAAATCTCTTACCCACACCCCCCGGATCGACCACCGTCGCAGGTGCTGGTCAGCACGGAGCACGTACTCGATATGATACGTGATGCTGTGCCCAGGATTGCTTTGCCCAAGTGCCACCACCTTTGACAACTTTTTATTCCTTTATTGTTCTTTTTCTATGTCTCTTTTTCTCTTCTAAAGTGTTGTTCGACGAATAGTTCCCCTCCATCCCTCTCCTTTTCTTATTTTACTCCTTCTTGCATTTGCTTTCTGTGACACGCACTCTCTTTTCTTTAATGCCTTTTCCATTTTATTATTTTTCGCCTCCCGCTTTCTTCTAGCCATTGTACTTTCCCTCGTTGGCCGCCTTGTCTTTCGTCTCTGCTTTGCTTTGCTTTCTTATCTTCTCCGACACTCGCTTGCCTGTTTTTATTTTTGATTTTGTTTCCTTGGGTATCTGCCGCTGGTTCGACCAAGATCATTCCGTCACTGTCATTCTTTTACTTTTGTTCTTTAATTCTCCGTCGCCGTTGACGCTCATCACGCATCACGCATCAACCGGTACCCCTTACACTCTATTTACGGAAAAGGCGGGCGATCAACCACCCCGTCTCATTCTCCCTTCCGTCACCAAGGACCGCCCGAGACAAAATTAATAGAATCTCTGCCAGAACGGTGCATTAACTGCATTCCATTTGACATTTTCTGCATTTTGTCTAGTCTTTCCCTCGGCTCTCGCGTTACTTTTCCGTTGTCTTTTACTTCACGTCGCGGTGACTGTCCGTACGCGATCGTCGATCTGCGCTGCCCTTTTCTTGTTTCTCAGACAGCAAGCTTTCGTCAACAAATGACGTGCAGCACCACACGACGGGACGAGGTGTAAGAGGACAACAGAGGAGAGCGCTCCTCCGGTTGGGAGAGCCAGACATTCCTCGTCTCTTGCCAGCGGCCACAGATCCGCTACAAAGGACCAGCCGTTTCATTCTATATTTACACTCGACGGGACGCTTTGGTCGTTGGCTTCAGGGACCCCTCATGGACTCATAGTCTTGAGCAGCCTCTCGAGAATCCTCTGCCCACTCGTCACATAAACTCTCTCTTGAGACTCGGCCTTTCTTGCCCTTTCTTGTCCTTTCTCGTCTATTTTTTCTTCTGTTTTTTTTTTTTTTCACGTTTCATACCTGGCCGGTCTCAACTCGACTGCAACATGAAGAGAGCTACATTTTTCAAATCGGCTACTCCCTCGAGTCCGGCGCAAGCCACGGTCAAGCCAAGTCGCCAGTCGATCCGCGGCCGCATCTCGGCACCAATTCCTTTCCCCGACCCGCTCGAAACACCGGCATCAAGTGAGATTGCAGCTGCAACTCCAGCACCGGTCCCAGTTCAGGAGGTCACTGTACCGGATCCAGACTCCGCTTTGCCTACTCCGCCACCACCGCCAACCCGTGCTTCGCCGCCGCCGCCGCCCGTTGTCAGCGCGTTTTCCGAAGACCTGGAGAACTCCGAGGTTGAAATGTCAGCAGATGAAGCTGCTGATGAAGACGCTGATGAAGGCGCTGACGAAGACGAAGGTGCAGGCGCAGGTGCAGAGGCGACTTCGGACGCGGAAGAAGGAGAGGCGAAGGAAGAGGGTCATGTAGAAGGGGAGGGAAAAGAAGTCGCAGAAGCTGGCGAAGGTGGAGCTTCGATCACGGAGCTCGAAGGAGCCACTGGTTCTGAGCCCACAGAAGATGATGTCGACCAGGGCGACGGTGAAGCGGCGGACTCTGCAGAGCCAATGCCATCGTTACAATCCCCGAAAGTCAGACCAGCTGCCGCTTACACAATCGGGCACAGACGGATACCGACGGCCGATCTCTCGTCACGGCCACAACAGCTGCAACAACCGCAGCTTCCGCTCCCGGACCCCACAGCACCCCCACCGTCGTCACAGAGCCAGCCACGGCTCCAGTACAATCTTCCACAAGATCAGCCGAGCTCATTCAAGCAACCTGCGCAGTCGTCAGGCTCAAGTCCACCCCCTCTCAGTGCCGGGCCAAGTGCCGTGTCCAGCACTCGAGCAAGTGGCACCGTGAGCGCTGCCAACTCGGCTTCGTCGCCAGCCTTCCGCCACCGCACAAACCCGTCCAGCACGCTGCGATACTCGGGTGCCAGCGGCATGTCATCTGGCGGCGCCGGTACCAGTGCTGGAAACACAGTGAGCGGCAGCCCGAAGAGGAAGAAGTCAACGCTGCGTGGCGCGTTCAGTAAGCTGTTTAGTCGCCGCAAGAAAACCGACAGCCAGATTTTGCCAACCATTGCCGCAGATCCTGACAACAACACACATGATATGGACGATTCCCAACAGGGCTTCCAATATCGACAACAGCAGCAACAGCAACAGCAACAGCAGCAGCGGCAGCAGCAGCAGCAGCAGCAGCCCGCATTGCAACACCGTAGTGTGCGGTCCGACCCCACGGTGCTCGGTCGGCCGCGGGACAGCGAACCGAAACGCTCAGCCTCACTTCTTATTACAGAGTACGACCGTGCCCTCCGATCGCACTCCATCGGCCCCGACGAGATCCTGGCCATGGATAGCGCACGGAACTCTCTCCAGGTCGACTGTGGACCCGATGAAAATGCAGGAATGGAGGACAGCAGCGGTGGCCGCCGCCGTGATACAACATCGGCCCACCGCCCTTTCTTCTCACAACAAAGTAAGGCTGGACGGCGACGCTTCAACAACAAGAGCGAGACGTATGCCAACATTCTGAGTGGCAGCGGGTGGACAGGTCTTTCTCCACGGCCGGCCAGTGCACAAGGCCGTAAGAGCCAAAAACGCCTGTCCGGCTCGGATATTGTCAGTGGAAGCGCCAGCAGTGCTCTTGGTCGCAACTGGGTCACAGGCGGTGCCGGTGGCTCTGGAAGCGGCGGATTGGGCCTGTGCACGGGCACGGGGTTCAGCTTGTTTGGCGCTGCCGGCGTTGCTGGTCGCAATGGAGGTGGTGCCGCCGCTGACCCCAACGAGATCGGTCGCGCCATTACGTCCAACGGCCGGGACAGCCTGGACGCCAACAACGATGTCAGCAGCAGACGGCGGTCCCGGTCGCTTTCGAATCTGCACGCCTTGTCGTTTGACCAGGGTCAGGCTCGTGGCCGCAACGACGAGATCCGGTACTGGCGCGAGAGCTATGACCCAGCCTTCCTGTCGCCGCTGTCATCGACCCACGATACGGGCAACGATCGGGACGAAGATGACGATGAGGACAGACCGAGTGCTGGGACGGGGTATCAGGGCGACGTCCGCGGTGTACGCGACAAGCAACATGGCACGGACGGTGCTGCCTTCCACGGCGGCGACGATGATCTGACCGGCAACCTGTCCCTCCTGCAAAGCCTGCCGGACTCGCCGATTGATTCTCCCAGTGAGCAAGACGGCGAGCGCCAGAAGGGAACGAAGCAGCCGGCGACGGCGTCTCCTCAGCCGTTTTCATTTGGAAACCTGTCCAGCATTGGCACGGGACCGATGAAGATCACGCAGGCCAATAGCATGGACTCTCGCATTGGCGGTCTCGAGACGCGCATGCATCGCATGGAGCGCGTGGTCGACCAGCTGTGCCACACGGTCCCCGGGTACAAAGGCAGAGAGACGTCGGATGCAAGTGCAGAGCAGGTTCCACGATCGGTGCCTCCGTTCCCTGACGACTTTAGCGGACCTCCGGCGATTCCACCGATCCCAGCCATCTACCAGGCGCAGGCGGCCACGCCGTTTGCGTCGTCTTCGCGCTACAGCAGCAGCCGTCGGTCGGAGCATTCGGTGGACTCGTTCGACTCGGACCTGCAGCAGTCGCACATGTCGTTTGGCGATGGACAGACGTACATCGGGTCGCTGCACCCACCATCCAGCTCGGCTACACAGGCGCAGTCCATCATGGCCCCCGTCGGCGGTGCTGGCGCGCCCCTCGCACCGACTGGTGGCAGCCACTCGCCTGCTCTGCGGCCGACATCGACATCGACTGTCCGCGGTGCGACGAGCCTGCCGCAGCTGAATGCCGCCAACGACGGCAGCACGGCGGAGCTCATGGCGCAGCTCGAGTCGGAGCGCGCGGTGCGGCAGACGCTGGAGACGCAGGTCAAGAAGCTCAACGAGCGCGTGAACGCTCTGTCGACGACCATGTACGCGATGCTGCGCGATCCGGCGGCTGCCAAGCCTCGCGCCAGCCGGGAGGCGCTGGCTGCGGCGCCCAGCTCCAGCAGCCTCCGGGGTCAGTCGGCAGCGGCCTCGGCAGCGGCGGCCGCTGCACAGCTCAAGGCCGAGTCGGTACTGCAAACGGCCAAGGCGCTCGGGCACGGCGTGTCGTCGCTGTCGGCGGACGAGGAGACGGAGTCGGAAGGCGGCTTCCAGACGCCTCTGGACGGCCACTACAACTACAACAACTACGGCGACGACAACGCGCACGACACGGCCACGGGCAAGGCGGATGAGGCGACGCGCAAGAAGAAGGCGGCACGGACGCTGAGTCTGGGACAGCTGACGCTGGGCAAGAGCGCCGTGCAGGCATGATGGGTGATGTGACTGAAGTGACGTGACGATGTTGGCTTTGTGCAGCGTTCTGGTTTTGCGTGTGAATTTGGGGCCCAAGGCTTGCCGCTCTTGCCGACTCCCCCTTTCCCCTTTCCTTGTCGATTTTCTTTTATTATACCACTCTGTACAACAAACGACTACCTTTTACCTTTCGAGATGTATTATTTACTTTTCCTAGTTGGACAAACGATGTTTCGATGCATCGGTGGACTCTGTCTTCGCCCTGCAGCATATTTCTTAGCTTGCCATCTATTGTTTTCCTGTACGATTTACAGCATACTATGTTCGAATTTGAGTGTTTTTCACATATTTCTGAAGTCTGTCTCGAAATGCCTTGCGGCGTGGCAGTTAGTTGTGTTATCAGCTGTAGGCTGCCTAGCGCCACTGACCTTCTGTGTTCGGCTTAGTGGTTGTCCCCTTTTCCGCGCGTTTCCGCTGAAGACATATCTTAAGATACGCACAACACACTGCCTGAGCCGATTGCATCATTTGAGAGTGCTGAACGCGAGCAAGATGTCACAAATCCACCGAGAATAATAAGAGTCATTTTAGGAGTGTTCTGCTTCTGGTTTCATAACGGCCAAATTACGGCTGCGAGACAGAGTGCTGCTGCTTGGTCGCTCTTGCTTTGCGAACAGCACGATGCTAAGTAATTAATATAGAGTAATTCGTACTGATAGCTCCACACTTCCTTCCCAAAACAGTCTCACGTCGGTGTCTGCGATAAGGCTTTCAGCAGTCTATTTTTCTGAGGTAGTTTTACAGGTTTTACAGGTAGTTTTACAGGTAGTTTTACAGGTAGTTTTACAGGTAGTTTTACAGGTAGTTTACAGGTAGTTTACAGGTAGTTTACAGGTAGTTTTACAGGTAGTTTTACAGGTAGTTTTACAGGTAGTTTACAGGTAGTTTACAGGTAGTTTACAGGTAGTTTACAGGTAGTTTACAGGTAGTTTACAGGTAGTTTTACAGGTAGTTTTACAGGTAGTTTTACAGGTAGTTTACAGGTAGTTTACAGGTAGTTTTACAGGTAGTTTTACAGGTAGTTTTACAGGTAGTTTTACAGGTAGTTTTACAGGTAGTTTTACAGGTAGTTTTACAAGTAACTCTTAACAATGTACGTCGTCTGTAATTACACTCCGTACACCTTCTCGACCTCGTTGTTTCCTACTTCCTTTTTATAGCTTCCATGCTTTATTCTAAGCGGCTGCCGATCACTACGACATACCGAGGCGTTTCCTGGTCGCTACTTCCTGGCTGCCCGTTAGGTACCTTCCCAGCTGTCCCGCCTGCCAGCCCAGCGTCTTTCCCGCGCCGCCCGCCTGTATTTTCGGTCCGCACAGACGCCCAGCTCTCTTTCGCGCTTACTCCATAATTAACGTGTATCTCTCCCCTTCATACCCGCCTTGCAGCAACCACTTTTCTCCGACCACTTTCTCACCACATTTGCGACAACCTCTTTGCTTTGCCCAAGCATCACGACGCGACACCCACGACACGCAGCTCAGCTCGCACACCTCCGCGTCACGCTCGCGCAGCCGTCACGATGGCCACCCAGTGGATCGACTGGTCCAAGACCACCCGCTCCAAGAACTACCGCGGCTCCAACTCCTTTGCCACGTTCATGATCATTGGCCGTATGTCCTTTTGTCGGCGAACGCACGCTGTTCGCCGTCTCCCTCTCCCTCCCTCTCCCTCCATCTCGCTAACACTGTCAGCCGTCTGCTTCTTCCTCGGCATCCTGTTTGCCTTCTTCCCCTACGACTTCCCCCTGCTCTGGACGTCGGCCCCCGTCCCGCCCGCCTACTACGACCAGCTCGAGATCCACCTCAAGTTCATCCACCAGAGCCCGCCCTTTATCGCGCGCCTCCTGTCCATGGTCATTTCCGTCGGCTTCTTTGGCTTCTTCATCAAGCTCTTCCGCCCCTCCGAGGCCAACGTCCTCTTTGACGGCGCCTCCCTCGTCCTCTACCTCATCGGCACCGGCATCTACATCTCCAACATCGTCCAGGGCCTGCGCACCGTCTCCGCCGACATCTGGGACGACCCGGCCGCCTTTGCCCACTCGGGCCCCCTCTCCGGCGACGTCGTCCTCGGCCGCGAGGACTCCCTCAAGGTCCTCTCCGCCTCCAACACCATCCTGGCCGTCGTCCTCGTCGGCGTCCTCATCCTGCAGGCCGGCCAGTGGTACGCCGAGCGCCGCGAGGCCGACGACTACGAGGAGCAGGACCGCAAGGACGCCGAGGACGCCGCCGCCGCCGCTGCCGCCGCCGCCCCGAACAGCCCGACCTCGGCGAGCACCAAGAAGAAGCAGTAGAGGAGAAGCTGGAGGAGGGCGTGGTAGAGAGGAGATGGGACATGAGAAAGGGAAATGGGAAAAGAAGAAAGGAGGAAAGAGGAAGGGGAACGATCGAGTGGTCGTGGCCGAGGCGAAATGCTGCAAGACTCCGACAACGGCCGACGAATCGCAGAATAGGAGAAAACGATTTCCGGGTCATCACACATTGTATATGGTTTGCCCTTTTTTGTTCAATTTGTTTTCATTTTTTGATGTTTTGCCACGACGTATGCAATATAGTAACATGATTAAATGGCATATAAATATCAGTCAACAAGTACATAGAAAGGAGCACAATGAAAGCACAAACGAAAAAAACAAACGCCAATCCTGCCAAGAGTACTGCCTTGCAATGTTCGTCCAGTTCCAATGCAGAAAAAATGAAAGTCATCAGTTGGATGATGCTCATGCTGTGAGCGTCTATGCTAGGGGGGATGCTGTGCCCTGCCAAAACTCCGCGACAAAATGAAACAAGACAAAATGAAGTACGTCAGGATTAAAACAAAGGTAAGAAATTAAAAGGAGTGTGCTTGAAGACGGAACGTCGTCTTCCACAAACAAGAAGATAAAGGAGAGAGCTGTGTTGCGTAAAAGAGTGGCAGCCGACGCGCGAAGAAAAACGGGAAAACGGCAATGGACGACGCTGGGAACGTGGGTAATTGGCGGATCTCTATTTGGTATCTTGGGGCACAAAAGAAAGAGAATGAATCAAAGTAAAAAAGGAGTGCAAATAAAGGAGCGTATGAGCGTAGGAGTGATGACTACAAGAGAAAAGAGACTACCGCCGTCGTGATGCCGGCGACGACTGCACGCTGTTGGGCACATACGGCCGCTGGGGATCCAGGTTGGCCGCCTGCAGCAGGCTGCTAAACGTCGTCAACCGATCGTTGCTGCGGTTTCGCTGTTGCGCAGCGTCAGACGCCGTGAGCGTGTAGCTGTTGCCGTTGCCAGCCGTGTTGTTGGTCGTCGTCGCCGCCGCGGCCCGGCCCGGCGGCAGGAGTGTGCCCGGCGGGCTGATGGCAAAGTTGCCGCCAAAGGCAATGATGCTCGGGTCGACGCCCACGTTGATCTCCTCCGTGCTCGGCTCCCGCGGCTGGTGCTTTGGCTGCTGCACCCGGGGCGGCAAAGTGCGCATGCCCCGGATGGGGGGCACCGAAATCGAGTCCCGCGCCTGACGGAGGGCCAATGGAGGAGGCGACGGAGACGGCGGCGAAGGGAGCTCGCGGTCTAGGTTGGCGCCGGGCGGTGACGGTTTGCCCTTTTGCTGCTGTGCCGCGCGGCCGTTCGGATAGCCGACAGAGCCGACAGTGGAGCTGGGCGCATCACCGCTGCTCCCGATGCCACCACCAAAGCTGCTGGCTGGTGTGACCGGGCGCGAGTAGTCGCCCGAGAACGGCGGCTTGCGAATAAAGTCGGTGCGGAAGGCCGTGGCATCGCCCTGTGGCTTGGGCGAGCTGATCGAGAGCGGGTTGTTGATAATGTTGCCAAACGATGACGTCGAGCGGTTGAGCTTGTTGGCGTCCGACATAAAGTTCATTGGGTCGCGCTGCTTCATGCCGCTGCCGAGGCGGCTGCCACCTCCGCGGCCGCCGGCGCCTCCACCTCCACCTCCACTGCCGCCCCTGGTCAGACGGCGGCCACAGAGGAACCATACAGCCGCTCCCATCAGCAGCACACCCGCCAGGCCACCAACCACCCCTCCGGCTATCGAAGCGGCCGAGGCGCCGTTGGACTTGTCGTCAGCGCTGGCCACGGCGCTCTCGCTGACACCGGTGCCGGATGTGCCCGACGAGCCGTCCGTCCTTGTTGGTGCGGCCGCCGTCGCCGTGTCCGTGCCCGTGTAGACGGCGACTGTGACGGATGAATCCGCAGTCGTGGTCATCTGCGCGCCACCAGCTTGCGCGAGTGATGCTGACGCCGTGGACGTAGATTTTGATGATGATTTTGTGGAAGTTGTCGCTGTCGACGTCCCCGCTTTGGTAGCCGTCGTCGTTGGGACGTTCTGGAGCGGCGCGGCATTTTGGTTGGTTTGCATCACGCAGAGGCCGTTGCCGTTGCAGTTGTAGCCAAAGGGGCAGCAGGAGTCGCCGCACTTGGTCATGACACCGTTGAGAGCGGACGTCTTGATGGGCGCCTCGGGATGGGTCTCCGGATCTTGCTGCGACAAGTCACAGGTGATTGGGTTGATGACGGTGCAGTTTTGGCCCGTCGGGCAGCAGAGAAGCGTCGTGTTGCCAGCGAGCACATTGCAGACCGAGTTGGCAGGGCAGCAGAAGCTGCTCGGCAGTGTGAATCCCGGACATGTCGAGAAGCCGCTTGCGCAGCCAGAGGTCGCTCGATCGAAGATGGCAGCACCAAAATTGTTGACGGGGATGGAGAGGGCGTTTGCGGTTTGTATGGTGGTCCAGGAAGCTGCGGCGGCGAGCAGCCAAGCCGCCCGGAGCGGCGACTTCGTCATGGCCGGAGAGCGTGCGTTCTCCGCCATGGACGCACGGGTAATAGGAGTCGCTATGTCGTCGGAGTGGGAATTGCTTTCTTGTTGTTCTTTCTGCCCTTTGGTTATGTCGCGCAACGACGTTTGTCGCATGAAAGTGACGCTTTTCGTGTCCGTTAAATTTTTGTTACTTTTCCGTTTGTTTATTGTGTTTCGCCCGTGTAAGTGAGTTGGCGATATGCGGCCAGGATCGACGGGAAGGCAGATCTGGAACAGTTTTGTAAATGTCGAGAGGAGAACAGCGGTAGGCCAGGTATTGGAGGCCGCTCGAATAATCAATATGTCGGTAGTCGGGAAACACAAGAATGTTTGCTTCGCAGAAGCGAAAATAAAGCAGAAAATAAGAGTCGACGAGAGACGAAAACAGAAAAAGGCCCAAAATAGAAGCAAACGGCCAGGCGGCCAGGCGCCTGGGAAGTGGTCGGCGGCAACGGGGGGAAGGCCTCTTTAGATATAAGAAGAGTAGGCGCAGCCAGGCCAGTGATTCATGAACGGGCCGTTTGGACGAGTCGTGGCCGTGAGGTCGGCCGATCGGATGGCTCTGTTTGCTGTTTGCCTGGTTCTTGCGTCAAGCAAAAAGGAAGGGACATGCAACTGTCAAAAGATAGGATACGGAGGATGGGAAAGGTGTGAGAGCGAACAAACACAGAACCTTGTCAAAAGACCGACTCTCGTGAAAGAAAGGAAGAGGCATAAAGATGAAGGGGAAAACAATGGAAAGCGAGTGAAAGAGGGGGAAGAAAGAGAAACGGGGAGCAAGAGAAACATGAACAAACGACGATGGACAAAACGGCGCAAACAGTGAACAAACGACTGGCTGGCCTTTGTGCGGACCACGATACCAAGATGGGCAATGACTCTGACGGCCCCTGCTCAAGGAGCTTTCCGAGCGCAACTTGGCCATCCTCTGCAGACGAAAAATACAAGGCACAAGGCATACGCGAAAATGTATGGACGGATCGCCGGTGGCCAGTGATCTCATTGAGTGTTTCTGTGTTTGACCAAGTGGCCCCGGCTGGGGAGAAAGAGGGGCTCTGACCATCGTGGTGACGGGACGCAATCGCGCACACACATACGACATACTCCGTAATTCAAAGATGCATGCCTCTGCACACAATCACCAGAGCACTTACACGGTGAAATTGCGGGGCGCACGCTTTTGGTAGGAGATACAGGAGAACGAGAAAACGTGGGAGGTACCTTTCTCACAAAAATGGCAGAGACGGTACGGCATCGCAAGGTGCAAGCAGCGTGGAGCACGTAGGGGAACGGGAGGATTGCATCGAAACAATAGGCTGGAGACCGTCCAGACGAATGGTACCCTCCCCAAGGCTCAATACGTGCTGCACCGGCGCATATGAATGTGCTCCGTAACACTGTCGCAAAACCCCGTTAGGTGAGAATAACAGGAGAGGGATAGCAGAGCAGCGAGCAACAGCAGCAGCCAAGGCAGAAAAGACAGGGCCGGTTCTGTGCGGCGACGTCAGGAGGAAATGGTTGGCTGGTGCGACAGCCCAGGGGCCACGAGATGTTTCACTGGGGCGCCCATGGCGAGCGTGGTGAGCGACCCGCCGCCCGGATCTGAGGCACACACGTTTCGCGCGCACGCAGGGTGCAGCAAAACGAGAGGCCCAGGAGCTTTGGGAGTTTCTCTCTTGCCTTTTCCACGAAGAGAATTGTTCGTCGCTGGCTTGTCTGGCCTTTTTCTTGCCACTGTCTCTCTTGAAGTCCAAATGCAAGCGCTTTCGTCGCGGTTCGCAGCGGCTGCAGGGGTTCCTCCATTTACAGCTTCATAGAGGTGTTGTAAATCGACGCTCATTGGCCAGTGTGTCTCGGCACTTATCATGCTCGATTCATCCGTTGGCTGTCAACATCTGGCATGGATTTCGAGGGCGCCAGACCAGGGGGGTCGACAGTGGCTCAGAGGCTCGCCCACAAGGGCCTTTGGTTCTTCTTTTTCCATTCTGTGTGCCGTGGGCAGTGTATGACCATCATTTTAACTGCCTGTTGTCCGTTGGGCCCACGACGACAGCGATGACGACAACTGCCACGGAACGGCCATGATCCGTCTTTGATTGTTGGTCATTCGGGCGCGGCTGCCTCTTCCTTTGTGGCTTCGTCCTGCATCCTAGGTAGGAAGCAAGCCTTGTGTGTGGCGTGTGCCTTTTCTGTCCATTAGGAGCTGTCTCGCTCTGTTTTTGTCATGTGTTCTTTGTGTTCGTCTTGTTCTTTTGTTAGAACTGGCCAGCAACATTGGGCCTCAGACGCGACTATCTGTTCTTTGTGATTTGTCGTTATTTGGGTGCTCGTTGAGTGGTGCAAGTCTGTACGTGGCAACCGTTTATTTTTATTTTATTTCTTATATTCCCGGTACCCTGTCCAAGGATGATGGTTAGTTCGGCATGATTCTGATCAACGAATACTTGTGACTCTTTGGTTCCGGTAGATCACCAAAGCATCAAAACGAACCGAACGAAAGGCACCTTGGAAACAATGAGCGGCGAGAGAGAGAGAGAGAGAGAGAGAGAGCACAATGGCAATGAGCAATGAAGAGCAACAAGGACAAGGAAATACAGCAGTGTGATATTCCGTGGTCGGCAGGTGGAGCCACGGAGAACCAAGAAACTTAAAAGCGGGAATACGAACCAGTCCAACGTGCGTGATTCGTGACCAGGGGACGCACAAGCCGCTCTGCTGCTGGAGCATCGTCGGTTTTGAAACGCTTTGCCTGGTCTTATTCGTTGCCAGCCAGTTGTGGTCTTTGTGCTCGTAGAGGAATAATGGAGCCGCCGGCAAGGGTCCCGTCGGACCATGTTCTGTAAGTGCAAGTCGAAGTAGTAAAAGGGTCAACAATGGGGAGGAAGAGATGAGTGAAGGGGCTGATGCAAGCCGTCGAGGTGTCGTCTATGGAGGATCAAAGATAATATGAAAGGGGGGAACAAAAGGTGGCACAAAGGGGGATTTGGGACGGGGACGATACCCAAATCTGACTAAAGATGAAAATTGGCAGGAGCAACCGAACACGAGGGACAAGAAAGTGGCCAAATCGCAAAGGGAAGGAACGATGACTCCAGTTCTACGGTGCTTGGAAGGGGAAGGAAAGGGCGACGCGATACGTATGCAACAGACCGTCCGAAAATGGAAGGTCTAAACAGGAGGTACGATGCGGAAGGAGAAACGGGCACCGGCAAGTGCACGGCCGTCACGTGGTCGTCCACAATGACATACATGGGTGGAAGACATCGCTGGAACGTGTTGAGTCGCGATGCGATGCGATGCGCGTTATGGCGTGCATGGCCAGTCTCCACGCGGCCCATGCGGCAAGCTGTGTCTATTCTTGGGACCTAGGCGCCTGCAGCACGGCAGCGGAACGAGCCACCAACAGTTGTTCGATGACGTGAATGCCGACGCAGAGATGCGAGAAACGACGAGGAAGAACTACAAGAAAGCGAGGAGCGAAGACGGGGATCGACAAGGATGGGAGAATGGGTCGACAGTCGTGATGATTAACCGCCATGTGTGAAACGGCCAGCCGGGTCAAGCAGTCTAGTCTGGCTACTGGGTCTCCTGTCTGTTGTCTTGCATCAGGACACCCAAGGCGGCTATTCGAGAGAAGACGAAGACTCTGTGGAAGAACCATGGCAAATGACAACGACATTGTCTGTCGGGACGTCCCCTCGTGCACCTTTCTCATTGTCCTTGACTAACCCTGCAATCTGCCTTGCCGCCGGCATCCTGGCCGGGGCTTTCCATCTCCAGTCGCCGCTAGAGCCACAGAGCCACAGAGCCACAGATCCAGAGTCCTGCACGGCGGCCACCCTGCTGCCGCGCGGTATGCAAATGGCCGGATTGGACGAGGCCCCGTCAAATCAGGACACGCAGGCGGGCTGTGGCTGGTGTACGGTGGGCGCGAGGCGCTAGAGGCGAAGACGAAGACGACGTCGTTGGCTGTCCTGTTTGCTAGAAGCGGCTGAATGTAAACAAAAGGAGGGACGAAACAGGCAATTAAGAACACACGAGAACAAGAAAACAAGACGCTGGAAGACGACGGACGTGGATGCCGGCGCGAAGAGAAACGCGGGCCGCGGTGATGCAGGCCGTCGACCGCCGGCAAACGAACAACGAACAAGGCAGTAATTTTAGAACGCGCATCTTGCCGCCGCAGGGTCCGCCTCGAGATGCTCGTCGCCAGCCAATATTGTCGCGATGCTGTTCGTCTTTGTTTTGCCTGGCAAATTTCGTTGCTAGGCGCCGTTTTTGCGTGCAGCATCGTCTTTGGCGCCGGCCATCCGAGGCCATGATGAAGGAGGGACGCCAGGTTGTTGATATAAAGAAAGCGAGGAAGGCCCTTTGCCAGAGTGAAGGGGTGGTGATTCCCTCTCGTTCATCCATTTTACGACTGCTTCATACGTTTCATCTCGTCCGTTTACGCCAAACGTGGGAAGACGTGTTTGTTTGTCTCCAGCTAAGTTCATCTACCTTTAAGCTTCTTCATCCTTTGCATTTTTGTATACAACTCTGATTCATCCTGTTTCCTACTTTTTTTTTATTTCATTTTACTGTGCTTTTAGTCACTTGCATGTTGGACACGTGGTTGATGTTTGAAGAGTTTGGTTGTCATTTCTCATTGCCGGCTCCAAGTCGAGTCCTGGCTGTGCGAGCTCATCCTGATGCTGATTTCCATATCCTATTTCCTATCCTGGGAATGCCAATGAGATACAAAAAAACGCCAGATGATGCACCAAATGAGAAACCCAACAAAAACAAAAAAGAAAAGAAAAAAATGAAGCTGTTGTTATCAAGTGTGTTTCCCATCGTCCCCCTGTTGTTTGTTCCTAACCAATCGTCCCTAGTAGTTTGCCTTGCGGCGTCCGTTTTGTTCTCTTCCAACTCATCACCCTTATTTTTTTTTGTCTTTGTGGTTTGGTATTGGAGCCAGCTCCGGGTATAAGGACAGAAAAAAAAAAGAGAAAAAAAAAATCAAATGAGGAGGAAATCCCAGCCCTTCATCTGCATGACTTCGCGCCAGTGCACATACTGCGGTGGGAGCAGGTCGGCCTCGTCGTCGGCGGTGTCCGGGACAGGCGACGACGACGACGACGACGACGACGACAACGATGCGGCCGCGGCCGCCTTTTGCTGCTGGCGCTGCTGGCGGCGCTGCTCCTGGTCGTCGAGCAGCTTCTGGATGAGCACGTTCTGCTGCAGCCAGGTCTCGTGCAGCAGCGACACGGCGCGGCCAAAGGAGCCGACGCTGGCGGCCGTCTCGCCCATCTGGGTAATGCGGTCGGCAAAGAAGACGCGGAAGGTCGAGCCCGGCATGGAGGCAAAGCCGGCCATCAGATACACCCAGACGACGCAGCGGTCGAACCCGGCCGGCCCGCAGGGGATGGTCTGCAGGACGGCCGTCAGCTTGTCGACGAGGCCGCGGCAGCTGGCCTGCGAGGGGCAGAAGCCGGGCACGAGCGAGCACAGGTAGATGCGCGCGGCCAGCCGGTAGGCGGCCGTGATGTTCTTGATGAGCTGCTTGGGGCTCAGCGAGCCGTTGGCGTTGAAGGGCAGCTTGGCCGGCGCCTCGCCAATCTCCGTCAGGCCAATCTGGTCGCCGAGCACGCTGACGTGGTGGCAGAGCATGATGTCGTCCATGCCGCCGGCCTTGAGCGCCTCGAGGCAGGCAATCTCCGAGATCAGGTACATGACGCGGTCCTCGCAGCCCATGAGCTCGCGCAGGCCGAGCGACGACAGGTGCGGCGGCGACAGGTGCTTCTCGCGGTACGTGTGCGCAAAGACGGGCGCCCGGCCCTGCATCGTGGCGCCCAGAATGTCGACCCAGGACATGAGCGTCATGTTGAAGGGCGTCGACTGCGTGGCGTCGCCCGTGGTGGCCACACTCACAGTGCCCGCATCGACAGGCACGGCGGTGGTAGCAGTAGCAGCGCCGTCCTCGACAGCCGTGACAGGCGGCGGCGGCGGCGCCGTGGTCGCGGCCGTCACCTGCGCGGGCAGGTCCAGCTTCTGGACGAGCGAGGCCGCTGCCTGGAAGTGCTGGTGCCAGGGGACGTCCGGCAGGGCGTCGTCGAAGCGGCCGACGCTGCACTGGAAGAAGATGAGGGCGAGCGCCGACTCGAGCACCTGCTGGTGGTTCTCGTCGCGCGGCAGCGCGTGGCACAGCGCCGAGATGGTCGCGTAGCGGTGGCGCATAATGTCGGCGTCCAGGTCGGCCGTGGGCACGAGCTGGGCGGGCTGGCCGCCCAGCTGCACCTGCTGCGCCTGTGCCGACGGCGCGCTGCTGAGCACCGCCTTCAAGTGCTGCGCGGCGACACTCAGGCAGCAGTGCAGGTAGCACTTGTTGCTCTGCAGGGCGGGCAGGATCAGGTCGGAGCCGACGGCGCCGTGCTGGTTGGCCTCGAGAATGGGGAAGAGCGTGGGCAGCACGTACTGGACAAAGTGGTCCAGCAGGCACTGGTCGCCCTCGTCCAGCTCGATGGCGACCTGGCGCGAGTTGGCGTGCGGGAAGTCAAAGAAGTTCACGTTGAGTGTCTCCTCCGTCATGCTCTCGCGGCGCTCCGAATACACCTGCTCCATCCACTCGCCGCCGCCGACGCTGGGGACCACCGGCATGGCCGCCTGCATGTGCTGCGGGTCCACGGGGACGCCCGTCATGCCCAGGCCGACGGCCGGGTCGACCACGAGGCCACTGCCGTCCATCGCCGGCATGGGGTAGGGCGGCAGGACGGTGCCGGGCGGCGGAGGCGTGTGGTAGGTGCTGAAGGTGGACGTGGTGGACTCGTGCAGCGTGGGCACGTCGTTGACAAACATCTGGCGCTCGGTCTTGATGTCGACCTCGTAGGGCGCAAAGCCGCTGCCAAACATAAAGTCCGGGTGCATCTGCGGCGTCGAGAAGGCGCTGCTGCTGTCGCCGTTGGTCATGACACCGCCGTACTCGGAAGACGAGGTGGGCGGGCTGTTGAAGTCAAAGGCGGCGGCGGCGTAGTGCGAGTCGATGGAGGCGGAGCGCGTGCGGTCCAGCTGGTCCGAAAAGGTGGCAGAGGTGGGCATGGAGCTGCTGGAGAGCGACAGGCCCGGCGGGGAGCCGACGACGGAGGTGTGGATGGACGACGCGGCCTTCTCGGACAGCTTCTTGCGCTTGATGATCATCTTGATGTCGTCCTTCTGGTTGCGCCGGGCCTCGTTGTTGCCCCACCAGTGCGGCCGCTTGTACTCGCAAGTCAGGCCGAGGTTTTTGCAGGCAGTGCAGAGAGGAGTGCCCTCGTCGCACTTCTTGCGCCGCAGACGGCATGTGTAGCAGCCTGGTTTGTTAGTAGGTGATGCTAAATTTTGGGAGAGAGAGGAGGGGGGGCGGGGGGGGCGATGTGCTTTGCTGCTTACCCGTTCTTGACCGGCGGTGCATCTGCGAGCTCTTTTGCTTTGCATCGGCGGTGGCGGAAGCGGCGGCATTGGCCTTTGATTTTGCGGAAGCCGCCTTGGGCTTTGCTGCTGCAGACACTGCCATGTTGACTGTGGTTGTGGTCGTCTTTGTGGATTTTGTTGTCGACGGAACAACCTTCATGTTCACGATGCTGTCGATCGAGTGTGTGTGGTTGGGGGACAGAGTCGACATTTGTATAAGACGAGGGAGCTGTGCTGCGGGAGGTGTATGTGTATGGTTGATTGCTTGATAAGGAAAGCCAAGAGCACAAAGCACAAGGCACAAGGTCAGGTATGGGTGGAGATGGGGGGGGGGAGGACCTTGCAAAGCAAAAAAACCGGGGTTGACGGAGGGGGTGGGTGGAAGAGACAAGAGGATGGATGAATAAAAAATAAAAGAATTAAAATGGTGTGGGAGGGTGGAGGTGGAAGACGAGGGGGTCAAAGCCAGCAGAGAACCCCAAGTCGATGACAAGAGGGTAAAAGAAAATAAAATAGAATAAAAAAAAGGAAATGATGGGTATCAAGGGTGGTGAATGGGGGACCAGACCGGTAGTCCCGTAGATCGTGAGCGGACAAAATTAAATGAAAAATAGCACAAGAGTCCAGGCGAACGCTGTGGTTCGTGCCAGGGAGATTAGATAATAAGAGGCTGGTGTGTTTCTCGTGCCCGACGGTACACAGTTTGTATGAGTAAAGCAATAGGAGTCGAAGGATGGACTAGATCCGAGCAAGAACCGGCTTGCTGTTCACTGAGGAGGGGTGCCAGGTGGATGGCGATCGAGAGACGGCGTCGTCGAGTATCGAGTATCGACGGTCGAGAGTCGTCGCGGTCAAGATCGAGGATCCAAAAGAAGTCGAGGCTGGCGAATGTGAAGAGGAAAAGAGAATAGGGGGAAGAGAGAAAAGCAAACACAGACAGGAAAACAGAAACGAACACTTGATAACAACAACTTGAGCTTGATCGAGAAAGAAAATCAAAAGGAGGCCCAGAATAGAATCAGACGGGGAGGCCCATTGACTTATATCGTGGCCGCGCTGGCGATGGCCGCGCCTGTTTTTGTTATTTTGGGCGGGTGTGCAGCGTGCATCGCGCGACGTAGACGCCAGATTGGGTGGGACGTCGGTCGATGGGGAGACACAGACGAGCAGGGCGACACTATGAGAGAGCCTGTTCCAAGAATAGAACAGAAATGGAGACTGGCCAACGAGCATTGCTTTTTTTGGACGGAAGGGCGAGAGATGGGGGGGGGGAGGGGGACAGCAGGCGGGCAGGCGGGCGGACAAGAATAGTACGAGGGAGAGAGAGCGAGTGGGAGAGCGGTCGACTGTCAGAAGGCCGGCGGCCGGCCGACCGTGGTGCTGCATGGATGCCGTTGGTGGTGGTGGTGGTGGTGTGTTGGAAGCGAAGAAGAAGCCAAAATGGCAACGCTGTGGATGTTGGGGATGTCTGTCGGACTCATTCATGCATGGCCGGCAGGCGCGCTAGCCCAAAAGGAGAGTCTACTTGCAGGTGGAAGGAACGAGAGGACGTGCAGGGAGGAGCGGAGCGCGGAGAGACGATCGAGGGAAGGTGCGATGCTCAGTACGGAGGAGGCCAAAGGTGGTGAGCGACGAGGACCAGGAAAGAGCGGCCCTGTGCTTATTGGTTCCGGGACGAGTGGGTCGAGGCGAAAAGAGCAGGCAGTCGAGCTCTCCTGCTCGAAATAGAACGCAGGCTTCAAGCTCGACAGTCTTCAAGCAGGCCGCTCTTGCCGCTGACTGGTTCAAGCTGTGATTGCCCTCTCACAGTCTGTTGCGTCGAAAAAGGAAAGAGCAGCTCTCCCCACTCAATAACGGGCAGGTGCAACGGACGTTGCCCAACGAGGAATCCCGGGGCAGGAGCAAAGCACGAGGCGGGAGAGACATAGTACAAGAGATTGTGTGACGGTTCCGCACGACGCATGTACTACAGTTCTGCAGCTACAGTTCTGTAGTGCTTGATTGTGTTTCCCTCCTCAAAGAGGAGTGCTTCTCTTTCTGGACGGACACATACGCGCCGTGCGCCGTTGCACAGAAACATGTCTCACCGTGACCAGACTGCCGAAGCGTTGAGAAAGTGAGAGCGAGAGAGAGAGAGGACCCGAAATGAGAAATACAGAGTAAAGAGCGGAACATAGAGAAGACACCGCAAGGAACAAACCAAAAGTGTGCATCCTACTCTCGGCTTTTTCATCTGAAAATAAAGAATGTGCATGCGAAGAGGATCGGTTTCTGCCCGACGGGTCTATTTTCTTCTCTCTCGTCATGTTTCTTCTCTCGCCCGCTTCCGATGGTGCAAGAGTGCACACCGAATACTAGAGTGGAGCCCGACTGTCGTGGTGCACAAGAGAACGTGCCCTCATGACCCTTGTCTTTGCAGGGGAGGGGGAACAAGAGAACAAGGGAATATAGCAACCGTGGACATCTGGTGAGCACGGGCTGAATAGGGAAAAAACTTGCGCTGGGCGGGAAAGAGGACGGTCGATGGGGGACGGGTCGACGTGGGCCAAGAAAAAAAGAGTGAGGCATGCTCTGCTACCCGTGCTGAGGACCCATTCTCCGATCGGACCCGGTTTGCCCTAGGGCTGTTCTTGCAGGGCTGTCGCTGATGGAGAGGAAATGACTAGATCAGGTCGTCGAGATGATTTGTTGCGAGGTCGTGAGAGGCATTGTCAGAGAAAATGTTGTGCTACGAATGGGAGACAGCATTGTCAAAAGCAGCCGAGCCTGGGAGCCCGCTGTTTGTGAGCCGGTGGAATAAAGATGCGATGCCGGATGAGGCAGCTTACACAATACAGGCCAACCAAAGCAATGCGAACAAGGCACGCGGTCTGCTAGCACGTCTGAATCGGATCACGAACTTCATTTGCAATAATTTGTACTCTCGCCTATTCATCCTCGTCTCTGTTGGGAATCGGCTGATATGCTCATTGGACGACAACGGACGAATCAGCAGCAAGAAGTGACAGGTCGAGACGCGGATTGGCTGGACGGAGGGTAGTATTCAAGAGGACAAAGCCTGTCGAGGACGAAGACAAACGACTCGAGTACTCAAGGGCTTTCACTGACATGACCAAACCCCGATTCATCAATCCTTGTCCTCCGTAGTCACTTTTCACGTTCTTGCCGGCGTAGCTTGGAGAGCTTGATGGCCAGGATGCGCAAGTGCAAGTACCGTCTCGCGTCCGTGCTGTGGGGGTAAGTACTCCGTAATACACAGTACTGTATTTCGTACTCTTGATATGCTTCCGACGGCGTCTTCTTCCTTTTCATGGATAAAATTTACCAAAACTTCATGTCTTCCAAAGCACGTATAATGACGGCAGGGCACTGTCTTTTCAACGGTAGACCAGGCAACAACAACAACAGCAGAACAGAAATGACCGAAATGCAACAGAGCGCACAAAAACCGTCAGGACAGAAAACAGAGAAATGGGGGAGAGCGACTTGGACAAGAAGCAAGTGAAAAACAGCAAAGTGGGTGTACAGCTGAACAGGGGTGCTTTCTTGACGAGCCGCTTCTGGGCGGTGATTGGCTGGTGGTATGTGGAGCCAAAATGTGACGAAAAGACAATGGCCGTGCATCAGTGCGTGCAGGTGTTGTGTTCTCCAAGTTCAACTACTTTGTACGTCGCATTGCGTCTTTTTGGAGCATGGGTTTCTTGCTTGTCTGCAAAACAGACAAAAAAGACTGGCGTACCGGGACCAACCGTCAGCTAGCGCGGACGCTGGACCCCTGTCGACGCCAGTCCACAAACGGCAGCAGCGCCCCACCTCGTCACCCCCAACGTCTCCACTTGCCTTCTTCTGGACGTCCTGGACGCGGATCACAAGGTCCAGCGGCAATGGACATTGGTTCACTGGCTGGCCGATGCAGTGACGGACAGGGGTCCGAGTGTGACGACGGGATTAGATACATGTGTGTACGGAGTACGTCGTCGAGAGAGGGAGAGAGGGAGAGAGAGAAGAGCGTCCCACATCGTCTTTTCTCATTATTTGCCTCGAGTCTGTCCGTCGCTCTTTCCTCGCAGGACTTGTTAGCCGCCCTCAAGAATTGGCCCGATATAGAAACAGCACACCAAGGGAAAGAGCAGAGGGCATTTTGGGCTAATTTTGGCCGTCGCAACCGCCGCCCTTCGCGCCGACGTCTTTCTCTGCGTCTCGCCCAGTCGAGTCTCATCACGCGTCTGGACCACCTTTGTCAATGTTGGCTCGTTTTGTGAATGATCATCCAATATTGCATGTCTATTTTTGTGAAGCCCTGTCGCAAATTAGGCCAGTATTGTGCTCCTCTTGTGTCTTTGCGCTCCTTCCAATGTTGGTCAGCATTCCCTCTGCCTGTGTGTCGTTCTTGCCTTTGATCCGATGTCATGACGGACGCTCCTTCTGTCTGTGTCGTTCTTGCCCTTTTGATGCATTGCCATGACGGACGCTCCTTCTATGTGTACTTGGCACGATGGTCGTACATCGTCAGCTCTCCACTGCATCCAAATCTCCACGTCTTCCGGCCTCAGTGCACCTCTCGACTGCACCTCTCGACAGGCTCAGCGCCCGCCGCCCAGCAATGCGACAGGCCGTTTCCCTTGTTAGGCAAGGCCTGCCTCTCTTCCTGGCCAGGCCGCTCCACTCTCCACTCTCTGCCCTTCCAGCCCATGCCCTCCCCACGCTAAAAGCATTGGCCACAACGGGAGTTTTTCTGCCTCTCTGATCTGCACACAGTTTTGAACGCCTCTACGGCGTGCTGGCCATGGACGGTGTACATTCCGCCAATGCTCGGCATATTCTGCAGTGCCTGCCACGCTGCTGCCATGCTTCCAGCGCTGCCGACTCGATCATTGCTGGGCAGGACCCCCAACGGAAACGGAGCCCACTGAAAGTTTGTATCTTAACGAAACATGCCTCTCCATATTCCCGCCGCATTCCTTCATCGGCTGCCGCCAGTGTCCATAAAACAGCCCCCAGGCCCAGCCCCCAGTTCAGATACAGTTCCAGATCAGTCCCGTTGCCCCCAGCCGCCAACAGCCAACAGCCAACATGTCTGACGGCATCCTTTGAGATCGATTT